ATGTAGAAATTATTGGAGAAATGTTGTGATTGATTGACAAGATAAAAATAGATGAATAATTTAAATGGAGAATGCTTGTAAAGAAATAGTATTATTTTGGGTGAACAGCTAAAGTGATCCTCCAAGTTTTATTCTAGGCTCAGTTTAGTCCTTAATGTTTCAATTTGTCCATATTAGTTCTTCAAGTTTTTATTTTAGTTTAAACTTATCCTTAAACCCACTTAGAAGCCACATGACTAAACATAACGAACAACTCTTAATAAATAACGCTTATACTCCTTCATTCACTAGAAAAAATTGCATGCAATGATTTTTTTTATAGATAATGCATAGTACTTATGTAAAACAAAAATAAATTATGTACTTTCAATTGTATAGATAGCCATTAGGCTTAAGTTTCATGTGCACATATTAAAATAATAGAAATTACATCTGCAATATTGTTTATTCATCTTGTTTTTCTCTTTTATAGTGTAGTATACAAATTAAAGGCGAAAGGGACATTTTCTAATAAAAATGTTGACTAAAAATAGCCATATGGCACATCAAGTGGGTAAAAGGATGATTTTAATCCAAAACAAATACTTAGAGGACCTATATGGACAAAACGAAACCTAAAGGATCAAATTGAGCCTTCGGTGAAACCCGAGGGACTGAATTAGCTATTCACCCTATTATTTTAAGACAAAATACTATACTAGACATATAGCTATATTTTAAAATGAAGGTGGTAGAGATCAATATAAACTGTTGATTTGATTCTATGTAAGGGGCAACATTTATTTATACTATCGTCTCAATTAATTAATTGAAGGTATAAATATTAGAGGGTATATATAATCTTCAATAATACAAATATATAGAATTGGGTACTTCAAAATTTGGGACCAAAATAGCCAATCGATACTTCCCAAATTGTAGCGATAAAATAAGATATCAACGGGTACTTTCTAAACAGTCCAAATAAATCGATATACTTCACAAAAATAAATGGGATGAGTAGTAAGAAAAATAATTATCGTTCAAACTATTTCTTCTACTATTAATAGTAGAATATTATATAGAGAACCATAACAAATAAAGCTCATGGAAAGTGTCCACGTCGCAATGACGGTGGGAACATGTGGGCGGAGTGTCCATGCTATTTTAATCCCAGCAGAACGGGAGATGTAACCGACATACGGGCGGCTCCCCTGTGATGAAAACCAACGTGATCATGATGCGTGCATTATGTCAGCTTACACGTAATGTATGTACCCCTCTGTCTAAAAAAATATTAATCCTACCTACGAATTTAGAAACATATATGTTCGAGTTCGTGGCTAGGAATTCATTTTTTAAGGATGGAATAGTACGTTTGAAATTTGGCTGGATACATTTCTATATAAAATTAGAATCACCCGTAGTATTCTACCGCTAGTAGAATACTACTATATAAACCATTAATTTATGGGCATGTTCGGCTGCCCGGGCTGCAGCTGCGCCGCAGCCGGCACGAACAGTGCCGCACTCACTGTGCGCAGCCGCAGCCACGGCTGCAGCTATCGGCCTGCCGAACAGGCCCTATAAGGGCACGTAATATATTCTATTAATATATAGTTAGAGATAATTGCAACATTATTTTTTTCTTTTCGAGCCTCGCTACGGTGCTTTCTACTAGTAGCCGAAAACAATCTGAAGTGTTAATTTTATTTTATCGAAGGATTCCGATCTATTTATACTACCACCCCAGTTAGCGGTAGTAGAAATATGGAGATACATTATTGTCAAAAAAAATAAGTGTGGAGGGATATATATACTTGTTATTTAGCAATGACTAAACTTTTTTTCCTCTTTTTTGGCTTTTTGATGAAAAATGAGTGATGCCGGCGTAATAGATGATATGATTACAGATGGATTTAGTTGAAAAAAATAAAAGATAAAGTAACTTCTAATCATTATATTAATAAATTACTCTCTTTGTTCCTGATATTTGACGTCGTTGACTTTTTTTAAATATGTTTAACCGTTCGTCTTATTAAAAAATTAAGTAATTATTAATTCTTTTTCTATCATTTGATTCATTGTTAAATATATACTTTTATGTATACATATAGTTTTACATATTTTACAAAAGTTGTTGATAATATGAATGGTTAAACATATTTTAAAAAAATCAACAATGTCAAATATTTAGGGACGGATGGAGTACTATTTTAGCTCTCATAATATACTACCAATAAAGTTCTTTTCTTTATAGTGACCAGTCACTGGTCCTTTCGTTCCCGCGTGCGCTCAACTCCAGCGGCAGTGCCCTCTCTCCTCCGTCGAACAGACAAAATCAGGCAAGCTATTACTATACTGAACAAATCAATATATATAGTCAACATCGAGCAGCAAGAACACAAGTAATTAATGTTAGACACTCCCCATGATTATCTTTAAAACACATATATTTGATTAGTTTCTCCACATGCTGTGTTCTGTTCTTAATTAAGTCGTTAACAGTGCTGAATTTCTCCAAAGGATCGTACCCAAGTATTTCAGTTCAGAATAGTCATTTGCGCAGTTCAGAGTGCCCATTAGAATGGTGCTCAAAACACTGTAATGTTGATTGGCGCTTAAATCCTTGAATTGACAAGGTTTCTTGCCCTAGTCTCAAGGTGCACCAGCCCTGGCCAGCGCATGACCTAAGTCACAAAAGTTAATGGATGGATGGATTGAGAAACTGGAATGCAGGACATTATTTTCTAAAAAAATAAAACGACGAGGTATACCTCCTCCTAAAATATGGAACGTTAGTTGGAACGTGTTCCTAAGTTATTTGGAATGCCCCTCTATCTCTTCATGGTCATCGCACAGCGCGACAAGAGCAATGCTTGTCCAGTCTCCACTGCATGATGGTGCTGACGCCCGTACATACACAACATGATATTGGCGAGCAGTGAGGGAGCAACAACAGCGCTTGTCCCATCCAGATGAGTTCAAATTTAGTGAAAGTTAATCAAATTATAGATTTTGCTTGATTTGGATTGTCTTTCCATCATTCGCTCCATCGTGTTGTATTTCTTTATCAGACCGCTCTATTGTTACTCCATCATACCTTGTACTAGGATGACAAGTTCCATCCATTTTCGGGACAAAAATTCCACATAGTTCCCGCTTCTCAATCCGGAACGAGGAACACACTTAAGTTCCACGTTCTATGTGACATAGCGCATGACCTCCTTATGTGGTTTCCAACTTATATTTCAAAAGTACAAATTTACCCCTCCACACATCTGTATTAATGTGGACTATTATACCCTCTTATGTTTTTATTGTTGTTAATTGAGGTGGTGGTATAATAAGATTTGATCCCTTTTGTAGAACTAGCATAGTGGCTCGCGCAGATTGCGCGGCTAGTATCATTATATTTTCTCTCATATAATAGTATATATGTTTTCTCATTATATTATTCAAATATATTAAAATGATAACATAATTTTAAATTTTGCAATAACTTTACAAAACTACTAATGTGTAATATTCATATTATATTTTATATACATGTTAGTTATTAATTACTTTTAATATCAAATTTTAGTTATTTGTAAATTATATATATTCCTATATGGACTCTAGACTCGTCTTTTAATATTTCTTTTTTTTTAATTCTGAATTTTCTGTAAATTGTATTTCTATATAGACTCTATGCTCTTCTTCCAATATTATTTATTTTTATTTTTGAATTTTTATTTTTTCTAATTGTATTCTTATGTGGACTCTAAACTCATCTTTCAACATTCTTTAATTTTTAATTTCGAATTTCAGTTACTTCTAAATTGTATTCCTATATTGACTTTAAACTATTCTTCCAATATTTTTCTTAATTTAGAATTTTAGTTATTTGTAAATTATATGTTTATACGGACTCTAAAATCTACTTTTAATTTTATTATGTTTATTCCAAATTTTAGTTAGTTTTAAATTTCAATATGGACTCTATACTCAACTTCTAATATATATTTTTAATTCCGAATTTATATGTTTTTCTTAATTGTATTTCTATATGGACTCTATACTCTACTTCTAATATTCCTTGTTTTTAATTCCGAATTTCAGTTATTTCCTAATTGTATTTCTATATGGACTCTAGTCTCCTCTTCTAATATTCCTTATTTTTTAATTCCGAATTTCAACTATTTCTAAATTGTATTTCTATATGGACTCTAGTCTCCTTTTCTAATATTCCTTATTTTTTTAATTCCAAATTTCAGCTATTTCTAAATTGTATTTCTACATGGACTCTGCTTTTTTTTTCTCCGATTAATGTGAGAATTTATAAGCCATGAGAGCGAACGTGGAGGCTCATTTTTCTATTCCTTTAATAATATAATAGATATGATCAACGGATTAGATTAATTTGTAATACCAGTATAGTGCATTGTAGTGTGGCTTAAAGAAAATCTAAAATGACCTGTGTATAATGGAACCTATATAACATGTTCACTTCTTTTTTTTTCTTTTTTTTTTGAGGAGAACGACGGCAGGAGATCTGCCGGAATTTTATTAGAGGGAGAAAATAAAGTGCTTACAGTCCAGAGAAAATATGAGAGACTTGCACCGAAACAAATTAAGATTTTCACGGAATTTCATTAGATGCTCTCTGTTTGTTTTTTCCTTTTCTTCTGGCAATGAAGTATCACGGATGATGATGACTTGTTGCTCACAACAATCCTATTATAGTCACGAACAATTCGCCCTGATTCCAAGAAAGTTCGTCAACTCGAAATATGGCTAGAAAAGCAACAAGCAGAACTAGGAGCTTTGGGTATTCAGAAGCTGACAAACACACCGCCCACACACAGGATTCGGCTTCAGAATAGCCCCTGCTTTAGTGTTCAGGCCAAGGACTAGGCAGGATTAGTTTTCTCAATGAACAACCAAGCAAAGCTGATTAACAATAATGTGTTCAGGAAACCTAGCTGTAATGAATGTGCAAGGGGAATAAGAATCCATCCTAAGTTGTTCTTAGCCTCTGATGAGGAATTTGCTATATTACAGTCAAACTGAATGGCCTACATTACAGTATTACACTGAACCAACCCTCTGCTGCTTCTGTCCTAAGCTGGCTACGCAAAGAAACTAAACCCGTCATCATCTTGTCCACCTTCTCATCATCTCCTAAACCGGAGGAGCACATAATCTATTAATCTTGTCCAGAATCCTCATGAGCTTCTTCTTCTTCTTCTCATCATCTCTGGACACAAAAGTTTTGTCTCTACCAAATCCACAAAAACCAACACCTTCAGCTGCCGAAGAAGTTGCATTTTGTTCTGATGATGATGATCATCATCAGCTCCGGTTGTGTATCGGGTCGGAGCCTCGCCGGACTCGCCACTTGCTCGTCTGCGCCGCGGCCGTCGTCGCCGCGAACCGCTCCTTCGCCGCGTCGACGCCGACGACATTGTTGGCCGGAGGCGCCGGCGCCGGCGCCATAGCCGGAGCCGGAGCCAGGACGAGCTCGGCTCTCGTCAGGCCGTGCACCGCCGTGGCGTGGTGCAGCGCCACAACCACGACGACGACGGTGCAGACCAAGAAAAGGTCGAGACGGCTTGTGTGCTGCACCATGTTGGCTTCTGCTGCTGCTGCTCAGATGGAGACAAACAAGTCTCTACCTTGGCTCTCTCTGTAGCTAGAATGGTTTGTACAATGATCAATCATGGTGATGTCTTGTCTCTAGATATAGCAGGGGCAGGCAGTGTCGAGTCCAAAAGCACAAAGGGACAAGTGAAGCCAAGCACAGCATATTAGCATAGCATGCCTAAGGCTGTCAATGGAAGGTTCTGAAAACCTGAAAGTTTGAGGGAGGCAGATTTTGGCAAAGTCATGAATTGGGGGGGGTACTTATCTCCCAACAGACAAAACCTAAAGTTGCAATTGTAGATTTGTAGGGGATAGGAGGAGCAACAGTATGCTAGAAACAAAGACTTGCTTTAGCTCCTTGTTGTTGTTATCTTCCCCTTCTTGGCCACTGTCTGCAGTAAAACCCCCAACACTAAAGCAGCAGGCACAGTGGTGAGTGAAACAAGTGAGGCTTTTTTGCTTTTCTATCTTTTTTTTTGTTGTTGTTTGTTGTTCTTGGTTGAAACACACTTTTCTCTTTGAATCTTCTTCCAAGCTAAGGCCACCAAAGATGGGGGAGCATTCAAAACTTAAAAGGAAGTGCACCAAGTTTCAATAGCCTCTTTCCTCACAATTTTCTATGTGTGCTACTTGCCATGCATCCCAATGCTTTAGTTGCTCTCCTAGCTTTGGTGCAGGAATGGAAAGAATGGTGAATCTTAAAGCATTTTCAGGATCCAACGACGGTTGTAGCTTCTTGGAGCTGTGTATGTGTTGGACTGGTCATGGTCTAAGGAGGCCGTTTTATTGGTACCAAAGCGAAAAAAGAAAGAGAGAAAACAGTAGCTACTGAATCCTTTTAAAGTGGAGGCAGGCCACCTTAGCTTCAAATTTGTAATAAACACAGCACTTAGATGCATAAATTTTAAACCAGAAGAAAATCATTATAAAGAGATGGAAGATTATGTAAAGATTGCTTCTTGCTAAGTGGGTTAGGGAGCCCACAAAATCTTCCTAGCAAGCTGCAAAAGAAAAAAGGAGGGGAAATTAAAGGTAACAGAATGAATTATCAATGGTTTGCCCTTTTGTTTGAAGAGATTCTTAAAGTGCTAACTCAAATACTTGGTAAAGTCACTATTTGAAATATATGTATACTTGCTAAAGTGCCCAGAAATTGATAATGGGAGGCTTTTGTCCGGGACAGCAATCTACAAAATAGGATTCCATTAGAAAAGGAGTAATCATATTGTGCTGGTTCATGACACTAAATTAGGTCTATAGGAATACTCTATCAGAAAGGGCACAGCAAATAAATTAACAAACAAATATTTACTTCTAAGTTAAGCAATGCAGCATACAAGGAATTGATACAATGCTGGAAAAGATCATGATCTTAGCAGAGACAAGATATTGATCTTATCAGAGTAATGATGACACCGTGATTAAAGCAGCAGCACAGTTCAATTCAAAAAAAAAATAGCACTGTTATTTTTCCTGCTTTCGTAGTTACATGGAAAGTTTATGATGTGTCTTTAAGTTTATGATGTTCATAAAGACACTCAAGTACAGAACAAACAAGCTTTTACCAAAGATTGCAGAGAATCTAATACTAGTAGTTTTACCCACCCACTCTTTGAGTATGAACTGTAATGACCTCCCACTTTTTGCTATCGGAGGTAATCAAATATGAAACAGTGAAGTTAAGAAGGTGCATTTGTCATGTACTCCTGCCAGATAAAGTTAGAACCGAAAGAACAGTTAACTGTTCACAAATGACACGCATTGAACTATAGTACAGTAATTAACTAGCCACAGGACGAATCTCTATGTAATCCACGATGCGTGGCCTGGCCACCTTGTAGGCTTGTACCTCCTCCCCTTGTGATTGTGAGGATCGAAGCGGCCACAGGAGCACACGTCCGTCGATGTACGATGCGGTCACGCAGACTGTGGAATCACGGCGCCGGCATGGCTCCTGTTATGGCTCCTGTTGAGCCGAGTTTAGCGCCTGTTCAGTTTGATGCTATTTTCAATCTTACCAAATTTTAGTAAAATTACTAAAAAAAATAACTACATTTAGTTTGCTACCAAATTTTGGTAACTATATAAGAAATCCTGCCAAAACTTTGGCAAATGGCAACTATACCAAAATTTTGAAATGTGTAAGGTTTTTTTAGCATCAAAGTGAACAGGCCCTTAGTTTCAAACTATTTCTTCAAACATCCAATTTTTCCATCACATCAAAACTTTCCTACACACACAAATTTCCAATTTTTCCATCACATCGTTCCAATTTTAACCAAACTTCTAATTTTGGCGTAAACTAAGGCCGAGTTTAGTTCTAAACTTTTTCTTCAAACTTCCAACTTTTCCATCACATCAAAACTTTCCTACACATATAAACTTCCAACTTTTCCGTCACATCGTTTCAAACCAAACTTCTAATTTTGGCGTGAACTAAACACACCCTAAACACACCCTTAGGTGTCGTAAAACACGTGAATGTTATGGAAGGATCTAATATCAAATAAATAGAAGGGGTGAGGTTTCGAACCCAGGTTGTCTAGCCCACCACCTTGTGGAGCTAGCTGGAATACCTAGGTGTTTCTCCACTTTAGGTGTCGTAATTTGTCACCGAGTTCAAAATTAATTCCTAAACCGTCGTATCCAAGGGTGGAGCTAGAACGAAATGGGGAGGGGGTGGCACTGCTTGCTTTACTCTGCTTTAGGTCGAGTTTAAGCTGATATGAGTGTTTGAGTTTGGGTTGAAGAGGGCGCATATACGGTGAAAATAGATGAAATATAACTAAAAAATTTCTTGACCGGGTTTCTGGGCACCCCCTCTTTTCAATGTAGCTCCGCCCCTGGTCGCATCCCTCAACTTCCAAAACTAGAACACCTCAAAGCGTTTTCGGCTAACGTGGCGTCTAAGTGGTGTCGACAAAGTTAGAAAAAACATAGGATGTCCCGTCATTTTCCCTCTTCTTTCCACATCATCGGCCTCGGCAAGAACTCCTGCATCAGCAGCGGACAAGGGTAGTCCTATCAACACATCCTCCTTTCGGCGACCACACGAACATCAGCTTCACGAGCGGCATATCCGGCTGCAGCGCCGCCGACCGGGAGATCACCTGCACCACCTCTGTCATGCTCGGCCAGTCCGACGGGTTAGGATTGCTGCACACCAGCCCAAGCAAACAGTAACCTAGTGGCATCATTTGCATCAAATTCTTCGGTACTAGTATAGAAGAAGAAGAAACGCCATTGTCGACGGCGTTAAGCAACCTCCACCCCAGTCGACGAGCAAATATCAATTCAGAGCAACATATCCGAAGCATAGCTAACCAATTCAGAGCATCATATATTACATCTAACTGTTCATTGATTTGATGGTTAACTGTGCTTCGGATATACTCTCTCCGTCTCATAATATAAGGGATTTTAAGTTTTTCTTGCACTGTTTGACCATTCGTCTTACTAAAAAAAGTGAAATTGTTATTTATTTTTTTGACTTACTTTATTATCCAAAGTATTTTAAGCACAACTTTTCATTTTTTATATTTGCACAAATTTTTTGAATAAGACGAGTGGTCAAACAGTACGAGTAAAAACTCAAAATCCCTTATATTATGGGACGGAGGGAGTATTGCTCTGATATATCAATTCAATCGACGGCAGCTTAAACATCTCCTGGAACATGCAGAGAGCTCGTTCGTCGGTGACGATCTCGAGCACCAGAACTCCAAAGTACTCCGGCACGATGAAGCCCAAGCGGGTTTCATGGTTTTCTGTGACTTTGTTAACGCTACGTATACATCACATCAGTTAAAATCGTCATCTAAACAGATTAGGATCTTATTTGCACTGGTTTTGAGAGTTGAGGGACACGTCATATCTGGTATTGTTGTTCAGGGATGAATTCCAGACTCGACGACAAATTGAGGGACCTAAAGTAAACTTACTACGGAGGAAGAAGAAGCACTTACTGGGCCATGGCCCACAACATCCGGTCCATCTATTTTCATCGCCACTATACCTCCGGCCCACGGACGCGACGCGCTTACACACATGGCCCACATGCCATGGTGCGCAAGCGCAACCCTTTCTTCCTCCTCTGTCGCTCTCTCTCTCTCTCTCTCTCTCTCCTCTTCTCCACTTTCTCCCTCCTCGCTAGTGCGCTCTCCTTGGCGAGCTCGCTCCGACGAACGCCAAGCCCATTGCTCCGCGTGTGGTTGGGAGAGTGAGAAGAGAGGAGATATTTTCGGTGCGGTGGGGAGGGGGGATTGAGAGAGGCCGAATCAACCAACCAACACCTGCCTGATTCATCTTCTCGATCGATCCTGGGGGGTCTGAGCTAATGCGCGCCGCCCCGATCTCCCGATCCGGTCCGCGCGCGCTCGATCCCCGCGCCTGATTTCTCCTCCCCGCCCGTCGCCGAGGAGAGCTCCGTCCAGGTAGCGCGCACGCATACGCAAAATTTTGGCGTATTTAATCCATGATCTGTGTTTGCATCGAATGGATAGGACGTGCTCTTTTGACTTCAGTCGGTGCTGGTAGGATGAAACGATGCAAAGATACTGTGTTGTTGAAGACATAATCCGATTTAAAACATTTCTTGTTAACTTGGAACAAGTTATCTTAATTTTCGGTAGTGATAGTTTCTGCTGTACATTTTTTTCCTTACCAAATCTAATTCAATTGCAGAATGTAGTAATGTATTGATGCCTTTGGCTGGCAACATAGAGAGGTTCATGGACTCGTTTCTAGTTCTGCTAGTTTCGGTACTTACATATTTTCTGCACATATCTGCATGTTTTTTTTTTGGTTGAACATAATTCAGTTGTATAATGGACTGATGGCTTGATTAGTAAGTTTCATTGGAAATATAAGGAGCGGAAATCAAGAATTCATTCCATTCCTTGCTTAATGTATGCCATTGATGATGAACTTCAGAGTTATTTTTTAGAGTAAATTGCACAGAACCCCATGTTTTATGGTCAACGTTGCTTAAGAGTAGGTACAATAGCAGGCTATAAGCCAGCTATAAACATATTTTAAAGAGATAAAGGAAGAGAGAGAACAGCAGCGGGCTACAGATTTGTAGCCAGCTGCAGCACGGACTCCAAAACGTAATGTGTGTATGACAGGTAGGACCAGATATTAATAGTATAGTAAGCAACTATTGTATGAATTGGCTATTACATTGGCTATAGATGATTTGGAGCTAATAGTTGGCTATACTATTAAACTTGCTCTAATCTATACATGTGGTTTTCTGCAACTTTGACCATAGATTGAGGGGTGTTCTAAAATTTACTCTTATTTGTAACTTGTCGGTTTGTCCATACTTGTGCTATACACATTTACTGAATCTAATTGTATTTATCTTACAGTGAGGTATGGCGCGGAGTTCAACTGAGAGCAGGACCAGGACCACTGTATCTGTAGTTGTTTTATTTGGCCTTTGTTCCTTCTTCTATCTCTTGGGTGTGTGGCAGAGAAGTGGTTTCGGAAGAGGAGACAGCATAGCAGCTGTGGTGAACGAACAGACTAAATGCGTGGTTCTTCCAAACCTGAATTTTGAAACCCATCATAGTGCTTCAGACCTTCCTAATGATACTGGGAGTACTGAGGTTAAAACTTTCGAGCCATGTGATGCACAGTACACAGATTACACTCCCTGTGAGGAGCAAAAGCGTGCAATGACCTTCCCTAGGGATAATATGATATATCGGGAGAGGCATTGCCCACCTGAAAAGGATAAGCTCTATTGTCTGGTTCCAGCACCAAAGGGTTATGCTGCTCCTTTTCATTGGCCAAAGAGCCGTGATTATGTTCATTATGCAAATATCCCTCACAAGAGCCTCACGGTTGAGAAGGCTATCCAGAATTGGGTTCACTACGAGGGTAAAGTGTTCAGGTTTCCTGGTGGTGGAACACAGTTTCCTCAGGGTGCAGACAAGTATATAGACCATCTTGCTTCTGTTATCCCAATAGCCAATGGGAAAGTGAGAACAGCACTCGACACTGGTTGTGGGGTACGTAAAGGATTCAACTCTAAAGATGCAAACTTAGATGAGCAATCAAGCATTAGTTTTTGTTGTTCTTATCATGTTACGGAGTTTAATCTTTTAATGCTTTTTCCTGCCACAATTTTGTTCAGGTTGCTAGTCTAGGTGCTTACCTGTTGAAGAAAAATGTTTTGACCATGTCATTTGCACCAAGGGATAATCATGAGGCTCAAGTACAGTTTGCACTGGAGAGAGGTGTTCCCGCATATATAGGTGTTCTCGGATCAATGAAACTGTCATTCCCATCACGTGTCTTTGACATGGCCCACTGCTCAAGGTGTTTAATTCCATGGAGTGGAAATGGTAAAATCACTTTTAGAATCCTTACTGTTTAAAATGTTCTCATTTAAAGTTTACACATCTGAAGCAAGCTGGTTGCTCTGGTTCTGCAGATGGAATGTACATGATGGAAGTTGATAGGGTACTAAGGCCTGGAGGGTATTGGGTACTCTCAGGCCCACCAATTGGCTGGAAGATTCACTATAAGGGATGGCAACGAACAAAGGATGATCTTCAAAGTGAGCAGAGAAGAATAGAACAATTTGCAGAACTTCTTTGTTGGAATAAGATTTCTGAGAAGGATGGTATTGCTATATGGAGAAAGAGAATAAACGACAAATCCTGCCCCATGAAACAAGAAAATCCAAAAGTTGACAAGTGTGAGTTGGCATATGACAATGATGTATGGTGAGTGACATTCTTTCTGACATCCTCCACAAAAAAATATGCCGTTTTAATCTATATGATCTTTTTTTTTTGCCTTCATTTTTCTAGCACTTACATTCTTCTGAATTCAATTTCCTTCACTAAATACAGGTATAAGAAAATGGAGGTCTGTGTAACTCCCCTTCCCGAGGTTAAAACCATGACAGAGGTTGCTGGTGGTCAATTAGAGCCATTTCCCCAGAGACTCAATGCAGTACCTCCCAGGATTACCCATGGTTTTGTACCTGGGTTCTCAGTCCAGTCATATCAAGATGACAATAAACTTTGGCAGAAACATATTAACGCTTACAAAAAGATCAATAACTTGCTTGATACTGGAAGATACCGTAACATAATGGACATGAATGCTGGCCTTGGTAGTTTTGCTGCTGCATTGGAGTCCACGAAGCTGTGGGTCATGAATGTTGTTCCAACCATTGCAGATACTTCTACATTAGGTGTAATCTACGAGCGGGGATTAATAGGAATGTATCATGATTGGTATGTAATGCTTCTCTGTATTGCTCTCCTGGACTCATGTTTTGGTCATTGCACTCTATTTTTCTCACTTATTCAGTTATTCTTCGTGCCATTGTTTCTGCATACTATTTTTTGCTTTTTAGAGGAGACACATTTTACTTTACCAACATGGAAAACCTATTTTTTTTAATGGTTTTCATTTGCTTCAGAAACATGTCAAAAACGGATCAATTTATTTACTTCTGTAGAGACTGAAGGATAGGATTGAACTTTAGCTCTGCCAATATCAGTTCAAGCTCTTCATGGTGAAGTTGCATAATAATAAAATCAGTCTGTTAGTTATTCTGCTATTGTAAATATGTGTTTGTTTTGACTGTGCTGACTGTTAGCTTTGATCAGTTGAAATCTGAAAAGCATTGGTTGCTTCTTGTTACATAGGTATATGTGTTGACCATAGTTTTTTTATTCTTTGTACAGGTGTGAAGGATTTTCTACATATCCAAGGACATATGATCTCATACATGCTAACGCTGTGTTCAGCTTATATGAGAATAAGTAAGAATGTCATACATTGCAAAAACAAGAATGTGCTCCTAAGTTGGTACATCTTCCTAATTGATATTTTCTATTTACAAAAAACAGGTGTAAATTTGAAGATATACTATTGGAAATGGACCGGATCTTACGACCAGAGGGCGCAGTTATAATCCGTGACAAGGTTGATGTTCTTGTAAAGGTGGAGAAAATAGCTAACGCCATGAGGTGGCAGACAAGATTGACTGATCATGAGGGTGGCCCTCATGTGCCTGAGAAGATACTCTTTGCGGTTAAACAATACTGGGTTGTTGAAAGCAAGAGCAGCTAATTACATATGCTGGGTTGTTTTTTTCCACTGAGCTCCCAACAAGACCTAAGACATGACTTAATTACATATGAAGGGTATGCATCATCTACCTCCTCTGTAAACTTATAGCCACTGTAGTCAGGAATGAACTCTTGGCAGCTTGAGTTTTCCGAAAAGTTAGCACCCTTGCAATGTGGCCTTGCCAGTTCTTTTCAAGGTAAATTGCACTGCAGGTATAAATCTTTTTCAAAACCGGCTGCCTCAGTCTTGACAATCTCAACCACAGGTTTCATCTTTTGATGTAAATGGCTTGGATTTGAAAGTTCATGTATGCAAGGCTTGTCATGACCGTATTTCTTTTAGCCAGTTTTGTCTAGCCTTAGCTGGTGCGACAATTTGAGAATGCTCAAACTGGCCTCTAATCTTGCTTGTTTGGTGCATTTGTGCTCTAAGGAGGTGTCGCACTGTAATGAAACTGAGATCCATAAGATTCTAGTATTCTGATCGTCTGAACCGAGGTGACCAATAATCAAATTTAGCTACGTATGTAATAGTTTTTTTTCTGTTGGTAACAGACGAACGATTTATTTTTAGTGCTATTTGAGGCTGTCCTTTTGAGATTCAGTTATACAAATGTTGTTCGATTTTGATGGAGCTGCAACTTGCAGTTCGTCTGTTGCAGGCATTTCTCTACTGAAAATCTGAAATGGGTATTGGTCTGTCGGAGTGTTTTGTTTTACCGGGAAAAACAATTTTTCTATTGCCAGTCACCTGTTTTTTTGGAGGGTTTTGCTTATGTGTCCGTATTAATAGTAATTACCAAAATTCAAAATGATTTTATTCTAAATGGTTTTAACTTGGGCTAACCAAACGGATGGTTAGATGTATTCACTCTCGTGCATGCAATGTACAAAACTTGCGTGCAGGAATTATGTACTATGCCGGATGGTTAGATGGTTAACTTGGGCTAACCAAACGGATGGTTAGATGTACTATGCCGGTTTAGAAGCCTCATATTATTTTTTTTTTCATACTTTGATGGAAATTCGGGTTCCATGACGCCTCACACTTTTAACCCTAAAAATAGAAGTGACGGACTGTAGATTATCAGTTAACAAATAGTTATTTTATTATTAAATAATAGTCCCAGCAACATATTGCAACCAAGAAATAGAAGCACCTTTACTTTGTAATAACTGGAAGTCCCTAAGACAATCTTTAGCCTTTACACCATCTTGCGCATGCAATGTACAAAACTTGCGTGCAGGAATTATGTAGCAAGGTTTACTCAACAAGTCAATATATACTGCCAGAGAAAACTAATAATGGATGCATGAATAATAATTTAACAATTTATATTTTACACTTCCATCATTCATAACTCATCATCGAGTCTAAATGTATTTTTGTAAAAGAGGTTTTCCTAAAAAGATTTGAATAACAAGAGAAATGCGTGAATCATAATTTGTTATAACATTGTGAAAGCTCGTGGGCCACATCTTTTGTCTTACAACGTATCCCCTCCATCCCAAAAAACATAATTAAACCTTAGGTTTGAATCTGGACACACACATGTGATGTGTTTAGATTCAAACTCATAGTTTAATTTTTTTCTGGGACATAGTAGTATATGCTCATACCAAAATTTAAATCTTAAAACTTAATTTTAGAATTAATTTTAAGGTTTTTATTATGGCTTCTTTTTTTAATATCGGAGTTTAAATCATTAAAAACACATATGTAAAAGTTTTAACCATATATTATTTTTTTACGCTAATATGTCTTTTGGCGTATTATCAGCAATTGGCCAACTGATGGCAGCTTGTATCGCATTACAAATCATGTATTTGTAAATACTTGCTTTCTCTTTTTTATATAATGGAATGTACTTCCGGCCTTTACTCAATGAGCTATAGCCAATTATTACGTCAAATCGCTCAAAAGCGCTCACAATCTAATAAGACCACAAAACACACCAATTTAACATAAAGCAACACAAATTAATAAGCACCAACACAAGATGAAAGACCCATAATTATTGAATCATATTTGTAAATACTTACTTTCTCTTATTTTTCGCCCATCGAATGCATCATCGCAAAAAATATTTTCTCTATACCAAACAATAAAAAATAGGTCTTTTTAATGCCCTGTTTATAGTCCAGATAATTTATATGAATTTTGAAGAAATCAACATATTTAGCCAAATGGTAGTACTAGGCTTGACAGCAAGGTGTGACATGCATAGCCATTATCCAGTCACCAATATCCCCATTGTTTTACTTATGCTTACCCTTCTAAGCCAAAATTTAAATTTTAAAATTTAATTTCAGAGTTGATTTTAAGGGTTTGTCATCGTAATTTATTTTACACTATTTGCTTTTGAACGCTAACGACAAGTATACAGAACATTTATCATAAATAAGATTTTCTTACCTATAAGCGATATGGATAAGCATAAGTGAAACAATCGAACTGCAAAACTACTTTGCGTGAGAGATGATCACGAGCACTTCGATGCCAAACTTCACAACGCTGCCGACTATAAATCATCGTATATCACTAACTTTGTGTTCATATATCGAAGAAATATCTATTTCTAAAAAAGTGCCTATTTTCAAAACTATACTTAAAAAATTTAAAATCTAAATCTTTTCATGTATTTGGATTAGGGGCTAAAATTTTAGTCCATGTCACATCGGATGTTTGACACTAATTAGAAGTACTAAATAGAGACTAATGATAAAACCCATTCCATAACCTAGACTAATTCACGAGACGAATCTATTGAGCCTAATTAATCTAGTGATACTACAGTAAACATGTGCTAATTATAAATTAATTAGGATTAAAAAATTTGCCTCGTGAATTAGCTCTTATTTATATAATTAGTTTTATTATTAGTCTATATTTAATATTTTTAATATATTAGTCCCGATATCCAAACACCACCTTTAAAAAAAAACTACGGAGGAACTGGGATAGTTGATGCGCACCGGGGCACGCACGCGCCGTGCGTTGGGCGTGTGGCGCAACCCCACGCACCGGCACGCGCCAGGCCGGCGCTCCCGCCTCCAGAGGCCGCCACCGGCCACGCGCCCCTCCACGTGGCTCCTGGCCCACCACCAGATCTCTCCACCGACCCCCACAGACAGGTGGGCCCGTTCACTCCCGTGGCCCCCACGTGCCAGTGAGAAACCACCCGCCGCCGCAACGCGCGCGCCACGCGCCGCGTCGTGCCCCTCCCGCGCTTGACTCGCCTCGCCGCCCTCTCCCCCTTGCTGTTATTGCTCCCTTCGCGGCTCTCCTTCTTCTTCTTCAATCTTCGCCCTCCTCCTCCTCCTCGTACGCGCCCACGCGGTTCTCTTTCTGCCCCCTCGATCGATTTGAGGTTTGCCCTTGTTTGCTGTGATGTTTTGCGCTGTTAATTGGGTGATTAATTTGGGGGGGTCGGGTTGGGTTGGGTGGATCGATGGCTGATGGGTTCTTTCTTGGTCGATTGGTTTTCAGCAGGGAACGGAAGGGGGAGGTTTTTGGAGGAGGCCATGGTGCCGTCGGAGAGGGGGGACGTCGCCACCGCCATCAGACCCGCCGCTGCCGACAAGCTCGTCCATGGGTGAGTGACTGAAGTTTCTTGGTTGTCTCGTTTGGGGACTTGGGGGATAGTTCTTGTTCTTGGAGGAAGCAAAGAGATAGATGCTCTGGGGATGCTAAAATTTTTGTTTCATGATTTGTCTCGAGGCGCAGTTTGTTTGTTAGGCATCATACCATAGTGAATCTACAGAATTAGTGATGATGCTCACTACTCAAGCAGCAACCCTGCAATAGTAAATGTGGAAGCCTGCCAATCATACTGCGTTAGACGCCGTTGGTGGCGTAGAGCTATATAGTGGTATTGGCAAATTATTTGTCGTCAGGTTTATTGACTTAGTTGTTATCTCTGCATGTCGATTTAATTCTTATCCCTTTTCCATTTGGGAGGAAATGAAAGTTGAGAATTGTGCATTGTTGCTAATGTTGTAAGTTCCCATTGAAACCTTGTGCAGGCCTATCTCTGACAAGAAGTGCCGGAAGAAGGTCCCGAGGAAGGTTCACAAATCTGAGAGGGAGAAGCTTAAACGCGGGCATCTCAATGATCTGTTCGGCGAGCTGGGTAATATGCTAGGTAAGCTGTTTTGATCACAAGGCATTGCGTCAGTTCTATGTGTCTGAATTGGAAATTTATTATAGCTTGTTGCGCAGAAATACAAACCACATATCTCTCTCTTGAATGTCATTATATAATTCGTATTACTAGCAACTGGATTCATCATTGCTTAAATTTGCTGCTATTTAGCATCTGATCAAATACAACAACCTTCTGCAGAAGCGGATAGGCAGAGTAATGGGAAGGCATGCATACTAACTGACACCACCCGGATCTTAAGAGATCTGCTTTCTCAAGTAAAATCTCTCCGGCAAGAAAACAGCACCCTCCAGAATGAATCTAATTATGTAAGTAATATTTGCTATGGAAAAAAAAAACTGTTGATTTGTTGCAGTTGTAGAACCATTTCCCTTTCTTTGGCGTGCTTGATGATTTACATTGCTAACTTGTCGTATGCATAATGCAACACTCATTCCAACATTGTTTTTTCTCCCACAAACAGGTTACGATGGAAAGGAATGAGTTGCAGGATGAAAATGGTGCGCTACGCAGCGAAATCTCTGACCTCCAAAACGAGCTGAGGATGCGTGCGACAGGGAGTCCAGGTTGGGGCCATGGCGCGACTGGATCACCTCTCCCCGTTCCTCCCTCTCCAGGCACGGTTTTCCCATCGCAGCAGCCAATGCAGCCATCTCCCATGACAACAAGCACAGTGTTCCCCTTGCAGCAGCCACTGCCACAACCAACAGTCATTGAGCCCTCTGCAAGACAGCCACTGGAACTGAAGCTCTTCCTAGAAGCACCCCCCGCCGAAGACCCTGAACCATCAGAAGACCAGGAGGCTCCGAACAATGTGGCACGACCGCAGCCGAGGTACCCAACAGAGGCATCTTCTTGGCCTATTAGCCTGGGACTTCCAAGAATGGAAGATGAGCAAATGTAGTGGTAGCACGATAGATGATAGCACAGGTAGAGATTGAGAGGGTCTGTTTTTAATGCATGCAGGAATTCCACACGAAAACACTTCTGTCCTTGCATGAAAACTGGAAAATTTCCTGCATTCCAAGTAAGACCTGAGTAGATCAGCTCCAACCAATCAGAAACTCACTTTGAGCCTAGAGGATATACTACTGAATGATGTGCATGTAAATATTTCAATCTCCCTTTTGTTTCTGTAAACTCTAGTGAGAATAGAACCCGTTTTATCCCCTTGCAAATATTGATGTCCAATTAAAATGCATTTATGCGATAATTGCAATCGAAGGAAAAGTTATGAAAGAACAAAAATTGTAAGACTATACGCCTGTAACCAGCCTCCAAGCCAACATTATCACAATTCTATCGAGTCTGACGAACCAGCAACATCTCAATACAACTATGCAGCACCTGGCAACCAAACAGGCTGATATATAGTAGTATAGCATTAACATTGAACACTTGAATATTTTCCATTGCTGTTATTCAGAAGAACAATCCGTACAAAATTTTATGAACTACTCCACTCCGTAGCTGGAAAAAGTCACCATGTCCTTTCGCACATAATGTATCTACTGATACATCTTCAAACACACCAACGGAAATACGCGAGAGATTATGGCCGGTTTCCTCTGAATGGCGAACCAGATGCAATTGCAGGTGGCTCTTCCCTGTACGGCTGAGTAGCAGGATCAGTCACACTGGGCAGTCTCTGTACGCTCCCCTTCCCTTTTCTAGCATTAGGGCCAATTTCTTCGATCATGTACTTCCATCCGTCAATAGGACGCCTCCGGCTAAATATGTGTGTTTTGATGAAGCTAGCAATCTGCAGTCGCATTTCAACACCATGTCAGAAATAACTAGAATAACACAAAAAAAATTGTGGAGAGAGAGTGATTGTGGACCTGCTGTTTACTGAAAGCAATCCGCCTTTCGAATTCTTGGAGAAGAATGTCATCTTCCCGCTGTGAGATATCCCATATGCTACCATCCTGTCCTCTAGAGGTGGTTTCCCAACCATCAGGCTTGGTTTTGATCTCAGCAGTGCTTGGAATCTTTGAATCGCCAAAATCTGTATTTCCAGAATCGAAAATCCTGTATTTCACAAAATTATAAGCCAGCTACGTGTTATAGATTGCTAAGCATTTTGCTCACATGAAAAATATGCATTCCTAACTTAGCAAAACCAAGAGCTTACGGAAACTAAAACATTGTACAAGCCATAAAGCCTCCCCAATCATGCAGCAAAAAATTGTTATGGCAGGAAGATATGCAAAAATGACAAATAGACTGACAGTAGCATTAGGAGTTTTGGAGTGCTGCCATAATACCGAGACTATGAGAGTTTATGTTTTAATGCCTGATATGCTGATTACTAAGCAATTGTAGCAAATGAAAAGAAAACTGCATAACTAATGTCATTCCAAATGCTCCTGCTTCTATCAACTAAATGGTGAGCAGCAAATGACGCTAACATATGCTTGTTCCTAAGCAAAATCAAGTAAACATCGAAGCACAGTACTTCCTATTTTTTGAGAAAAAAATAAATTTGAGGGTGAAAGATGTGAACTGTACTAGATCCAGAAGAAATTCACATAGTACGCATAATTTGTGAAACCAAGCTGCTACATTGGAAGCTTGGAGATAAACAATATATGCAACACGGTTATATTTTGAATGAACCACACCAGATCAACATTTAATTTGTACATCATGCAACAAAAAGGTTATCAATTTGACATGCAGCAGGTGCTATGCATCAAAAAAATAATCGGAGGCATAATATACACTATTCAAGTCCCAAGTTATCAAACATATCAGAGTTTCACCAATGAGCAACTATACCAGATGAAAAGGAAATCACAGCTTTTCCAGGCTCTAGCTACAAATGAACTAGCCATAATTCATAGTATTGCCCGACAGTCTAACACAATACCTATCTAACTTATAAAATACAGCTGAAATTTGATACAGATTCATGGTCTATCAGCTCCAGATTCCACCACCAAGTGCGGTGCACAACGAGGAATCAAATAATATGCAAGCGACATTTTGGCAGGCAAATACAGTTTAAATCGCAAATTTGTCTAAGGGGGGAAAAAATTAGAGCAGCAACTTACTCAGAGCACGAGTCGAGGAGTCGGTCGATGTCGTCGGCGCCGCCGCCTCCGCCGCCGAGGCGCGCCTCCTCCATCTTCTCGATCTCCTTCACCCACAGCGCGGCGTGCACCCGCTGCTTCCTCGCCCTGTACTCGTCGGCCTGCGCCTTCTTGGCCGCGGCGCCGCCCGCACCCTCCGCGCGAGGAGCGGGGCGCGGCCGCCTCGACGCGGCGCGGCGCTCGGCCCAGCGCTCGTCCATGTCGGCCACGAAGGCCTTGGTGTCAGGGTCCACCTCCGCGGAGATGGCCGGGACGGTGGCGGCCCCCGAGGTGGGGGACTCCCACGGCGCGGCGGGCGCCGGGGAAGAGGTGGGGGAGTCGCCCGGGAGCCATGAGGTCTCCCAGGCGTCGTTCCACTCGTCGTCGCCGGTGGTCGCGGTGGCGGCGCCGGCGGCGGCTCGCGACGGCGGAGGCGCGCGGCGGTTAGAGGAGAGGCGACGCAGGCCAGAGGCGGAGGTGGGGACGCGGAGGGCGCGCCGGAGCGAGTGCATGGTGTGTGTTCGGTGAAATGCGCGCAGAGAGGCTCTCCTGTTCCGGAGTATAGGTAGCAATCAACTAAGAAATCCTCTGCAATTTGATACCCATCTTATCATAAGCCCTCCTAAATACATTTAGTTTGGTAAAAAAAATTCTTTTCAGAAAGACAATACAAATATTGATGCTCACAGAAGCGCGCACAACCACCTCTATGAACGTACATTCGGAAAACTCATCCGACATACGTTGACATTAACGAAGTCATCACAGGCACATCGTTGTCGGGTGCATCATCCACCGCTGGAAAAAAGAATTAGTCATAAATGCAAGCCCTCGTATCAAGTTTAAGACTTAAACCCGAGTGGACTATTTCCAACCTAACTAGTCAAACTACGTTACAGTGCAAAATTCCATTAAAAACAACTATTTTGAAAACGTTGTTATAACGTCATTATACCCATCCACAAAACTCAAAAATCCAAATCATTAAGAAACTAACTGGCAGAGATGGGGGAGATCGCTCCTCTCTCCCCCCTCGGTGCTCCTCTCGACAACTGAGTGATATTTTGCCACCGCTTCACATTATATATTTTGTACGCTTTGATCAATGAGAATCCATCCCTCTCGCTCTTGCTCCCACACTCTCAGCTGTCTTTTCAACACAAATTATTTCAATAACTTCAATCAAAACCTTTTATGTACTTATGGACAGTTCGACTGACCATGCTCCTTTTATAAGATTTGCATATTTGGACTCTACTACTGTACTTCCTAAAGGATTAGATTCTGAAGGTATTTATCCTACAGCATATCTTAAGATTTAAACCTCAATTTGCCAACCTGGTATTTCTTTTTTCAAACATTATGAAACTACATAACAAGTTGAATAAACTTTACAGTGTTACAAAGAACTTCAAGACATTATCACAATTCTTAGGTTTAATGGATCATCGGATCAGTACCGTTTAATTGTTGCAAGAGCACGGAAAATTAAGTGCTTCTTATCACAGTTGATAGCATACTAGGATTAATTAATTGGAGGTCATATAAAACCAAGATTCAATGTATTATACTACACCAGTGTTAGTAAAATATTTGTAATGATTCTTTTTTATGCATATAGCTTCTTCTTTAGAAGAATTTGGAATTCCTTTACCACACGTAAAGAGTAGAAGAGATAAAGAAAAAAAAAAGATAGAGGAGAAAACAAAGCGAGAGGTGTTCAACCATAGGCCCATAAGACAGCCCACTATATCATCTAAAAGGCCACAAAAGATAGGCCCACCAAGGCAAAAGCTCTAGGGTTAGGGTTTAGCGCCTGCTTTATAAAGGACTCCGCCCCCAACTCTCGTCCGCCTCCACTGCCTCCCTAACCCCACAATCCATCTCGCCGCGGCGGCGGCGGCGGCCGAGACCGGCGGCGAGCGGCGGGGGCGGGGGCGGCGTCAGCCATGGTGCGCGTTAGCTTCTATCGCAACTGTAAGCAACATCCTTGCCTTGTCTCTCTGTACCCGTGATCCATTGGATCACAGAACGTGATAGCAGTAGCATCTGATCCCGAGCTAGCCTCTTCAGCAGTTTTGATAAGTTTTGATACTTAATTACTTGGTTCCGCATTTGAATCTGGAGTCCGAGATCTCGTCATTTGAATCTGTTTTGGTAGTCCACGGGCAGATTAAGGGTCTTGCCTGATTTCACAAAGGTAACTGATTTGGTACATTTGAGTCGTTTTGGTTAATCGGCTTGCTCGAGTTTGCCAGTTGTCAATAGTTCGTTTATGTGAATTAATAATCACAGTAGTCGTGCTTGACGTGGAAATGAAAACTGCACTCTGAAATGCACCTTTTGAATCCTAACCGAAAGAGTAAAGTGTTTGACTATAGGGGCATATATCTTGGAGACGTTCGCTCATGATATGAGGATCAGTAGCTCTTGATATAAATTGACTGTTGTTTCAAACGTGGTTTTTTATTTGATGCCTTAGATTTTCGTACATTTACCTGATACTCATGGTGTGTTGGGCTATACATGTCTAATTTCGCAATATTAATATTTCTCAGATGGCAAGACTTTCAAGAAACCAAGGCGTCCATACGAGAAAGAGCGTCCTGATGCTGAGCTGAAGCTGTATGGTGAGTATGGCCTCAGGTCCAAGTGTGAGCTGTGGCGTGTGCAGTAAGCCCTAAGCCCTATCCGCAATGCTGCAAGGGAGCTGCTCACCCTTGATGAGAAGAACCCCCGACGTATCTTTGAGGGCGAGGCTCTCCTGCGCCACATGAACCGCTATGGTCTCCTTGGTGAGGGCCAGAACAAGCTTGATTACGTGCTTGCGCTCACCGTTGAGAACTTCCTTCAGTGCCGCCTCCAGACCATTGTCTTCAAGAACGGCACGGTGAAATCCATTCATCATGATCATGTACTCATCAGGCAACACCACATCAGGTATGGATTTCAAATTTCTTATATGACTGGTGATTTAACTTAGGTACACTGCTGAAATGCATATGCATAAATAAACATGGGCTTGATTGAACATTGATTTTCTGTTTTGATAACCTCATAGCTCAGTATTTTCGAACTGCACTTCTGTTTTTCATTCTGGGTCATGTGATGAGAAACAATATGCAACTCACGACGGTCGTCTGAGACACTTAGTGTGTAATGGTGCAGTCATATTATCTCTGATGCCCTGCCATTTCTCTTTAAACTTCTTACATTGCTAGGGTCATGTATGTTTTTAGTTTTATGTGAACCACATACTATTTTTGCAGAATTTTATAATATCTTATTGTTGGTTCATAATTGTCATTAAGTTGGTTTGGCACTTGGCATTATGTAGTAGTTCCATTTTGTTGCCCTTTTTTGCACATTTTTCTTGGAGTTTGTATTTGGTGGCACAATGAGGAACTAACTTTGCTAATGTATCTATGAGGCCATTAGGCTAATGACTCAAAATGTCCTTTTCATTCTGAGTGCCACATTGTACATGACTTTGTTTTTCTCTTAATAATGGATCTCACTTGTCTTTCATTATTTGCATGTTAAGGAATTGCGTGATCCCATCATGTCCACGGTGATTGCTAGGATTTAATTTGTGTTTAGTCTCATATTGATGCATAAAGCTATCACAGCTATAGTACTTGTGTAAATAGGTCCTGCAAAATGTGCAAAATGGATTTAGTTTGTCTTTGCGTAGTTGAAGCCTAGATTACTTGCTAAATGTTGGGTTGTGCAGAGTGGGAAGGCAGCTTGTCAACATCCCCTTATTCATGGTGAGACTTGATTAGAGAAGCACATCGACTTCTCCCTTACCAGCCCACTGGCGGTGAGCCTGGAAGGGTCAAAGAGAAAGAACCAGAAGGAGGCCTCTGGTGGTGATGGTGATGGTGATGGTGATGAAGAGGAAGAGTGAATATGTGATGTCAGCTCGGTTTTGTTATAGGACCTAATTTTGCGGGAACTTGTCTTATTAGGGACCTAATTTTTGTTACATGAGTAGAAAACAAAAATTAGCCACCGAGGGTTGTCAAAAATTGTTGTTTGCGCTGTTGAAATTTTGATTTGAAGTTTATCTCCTCATGAACATGTGAATTCAGTGTACCCAGGAAATATATCCCAGGTCTCACAAGCTAATACTGTTGGGAATATTTGAAGTGTTGGGTACCTTGTCTTTTGAAAACTGGCTTTGATTATACTAAAGCGGATACTAAATCTGGCCTCAAAATTGTTCTAATAAATCTGGAATTCGAACTCGCAAATAATTTGTTGTCACGCAGGCATGTATATTCTAGGGATCTTTTGAGTTTGTTGGTGCATATGCGAAAAGTGGAAACCGCTACTGCTGTTGTGAAGCGCTTCAGAATTACCCGTTACTGCTGTTGCGAAGCACTCCAGCATTACACGTTATCGCACGACGAAACGTCCTAATTTCAGCTTGTTGCCTTCGTTCCTCTGCCTTGCCGAACCCTCTCTGTCTTCTTCACTTTTATTTTTTCTATGATGGATTAAAACTGCCTCTACACCACAACCAACTCTCTTACGGTGCCATGCGATGTGTTATCGTTCATTCGTGTTATTCTACCATCTACCGCCTCCTAATCACTTTCCCAGGGATTCCCCTAGCGCCTAACCACTATATCTTAGTTGTTCGATAGCCTCCACTATCCAACACCCTTCTCTGCTTGTTCTATACCCCCATGGCTTCAATGGTACCATCTTCATCTCATCACGTTGTGTTTACACCTTCCATATTGCTGGTCCTCCATCACCTTGACCTCCCCCTCTAAACCTAGAGCCAGTAGCGCTTGGCAATGACCCTCAACCCTTACCCCGTCTTGTCGATAGAGAAGATAAGGAACTCTCCAAAGATAAGGATGCAGGAGGGCAATAGTAACATGAAAATTGACTAACCTGACATTGTTAGCCAAAGGTGTATCTTGCATTTCTGGAACTACAATGGAAGTCATAGCATGTTTAGCTATCTAATCTAAGCTCTCAAATTTTTAAGTGGTCCTGCACTTGGAAAAGTTTGGAGATTGAGATAGGATCATTATGCTAGAGCCTTTTGTAATTGCTCTCTAAGTTTATTTCCAATGCGGTAAGTTGGTAAGTAACTTCAACTCAGTATGTTGGAGACATATTGCTTTGGAGGAGAGAGTGGAATATGTTGGCGACATACTGCCTAGGAGAAGAAAGGGGATGGGGGCAAGTGGCTTCATGGGGTCCTTGTGCCTTCTGCAAGGCACGTTAACCTCACCTGGCATTCTATGTGTGGTCCAAGAAGGAGGGAGCATTGACCTAAGCATGAGGAAGTGGTGATGGAGATCTTATAGCGATAGATTTGGCGAGCCTGTAGCCACATCAGGCGTAGTCATTGAGCTCCACTCACCATCCGCAAATGCCATCGGGATCCTCATCGTCATATCCACTCCACCAAGCCCCTAGTCTGAGAGGACAAACAACGGCGGAGATCATCACTGCAGCACCAAGGAGATCTGAGATAGGATAGCTAGCCACCACAAATCTTGTCACCACAGTGCTTAAGAAGGGAGCAAGCATAGGCGAAGAGGAGAGAGGCGGCGACCATGGTGGCAGCAAAGAAGGGAGAGGAGAGCTGATGGAGTGAATGAGTGGGAGAGAGTAGTTATATTGTTTAGTTTATGGAATTTAGGAAGTGTAGTGTAAAATTTTGAACTTCCTTGTCATTTAGAAATAGAAGAGGACTAAATATAAAATGTTAGAGGCTTTGAAGCTACCTATATAGGTAATCAAATGAGCCCCATGACATGATTAGGCATGGCTAGTGCTAAAATCCATAAAATCCATGCCAATCCACGGGCTACACCAACGGCTCAGGCATGACCTAATAAGACTCGGGCCGTGCCGTGCCGGGCCGAAGGCACGACAAGCCCAGCGGGTTCTTCCTTGGAATATATCTATTTTGCATCCGTCATCTATTTGGGCCTTGTCTGATAAGGCTAGAATAAGTCTATTTGCATTCCTCATTTCTTTGGGCCATGCTTTATTTGGCTAAAATAAGCCTATTTTGACTCCCTCATCTATTTTGCCTCCCTAATTGTTGGGTTGTGCCGTGATGGGCCGGCCCACCATGCCGAGGCAGAGGCCCAGACACAGCCCAACAGTTGGGCTGAGCTGGTACGGGTTAGACACTAGTCGGGCCGTGCATGTCTGGGCCGGGTCGTCGCGCCCTGGGCTGTTTAGCCATCTATAACTCCATGAGGCCATTGATTTTGTTTTACATTTGCACATGTAGTCTCAGCATAGATAGTAGCCATATTGTATTCGAGGCAGGGTTTATATTACCGTCGGTAACTATGCGGTTACTGCCGTTACCGGCCTTACCGCGGGGGTATGGTAATAGAAAAACCGCGGTAACCTACTTAAATTTAAATAAATTTAAAAAATAATTTGAATTTTTGATAAATTTTGTACGGTTTCGTACGGTTTTTCACGGTTACCACGGTTAATGCGCGGTAACCGTGCTTACCGCCAGGGCACGGTAACCCCGGTCCCGGCGGTTTGGGAAACCCTGATTCCGAGGTAACTCGGTAAAGCCGCTTGCACAGTTTTGCATTGTAAATGCCCTGATCGAGTTGCATATGCCCGTGATGCTACAGCTCTTTCCCACAACTTGGGACAGGAAGACTCAGTGAAAAAAAAAAAACAAAGAACAGAATGCCCAGACAACCCTTTCTAAAAGACGTGAATTAGTTGACAACCCAACGGCTTATTATTCCCTTTCATGATTCCTAACTTCTTTTCTGGAAAAAAAAGCATGAAAGCAAGCATATACCTTAATTAAGCACACATGACACAATTAAACAAAGAACAACCAAGTCAGAGCGATATGGGTACGCAAAGTCAGCAGAGGAGGAATCAAAATCTATTCCTCCCCGAGCAGCGACTCAAACGTAACACAGCTGAGCAGCTACCTAATAAGCTAGCTAGCTCACGTACAAGCATGTCGTCCCCTCTCTCTCTCTCTATATACATATATATGTAACGAATTAAGTCAATGTATAAGCAAATTAAAGATTGTCTGCAGAAAGGAAAACTCAAACAAATCAATTAGAGAGAGAGAGAGAGAGAGTAAATCGATCGACAATGGCGGAGGCGATCATCGGGCCGCTGGTGTGGAGGCTGCAGGAGATGGCGGTGGGGCAGGCTCGGGCGCTGGTGTCGGTGAACGACGACATCGTGAGGCTCCGGGACAGGCTGATGTGGCTGCAGGCCTTCCTCCGGGAGGCCGACGCCAAGCGACGCGCCGTCTCCGACGAGGTCAACAAGGTGTGGCTGCTGCAGACGCGCGACGCCGTCTTCGACGCCGAGGACGCCCTCGATCATTTCTATCTCCGCGTCGATATGTCCAGGTATATATAGCTGCTACTAGATACTCCCTCTATTTTTTAATAGACGACGCCGTTGACTTTTTCTTCCATATTTGACTATTCGTCTTATTCAAAAAATTTTATGTAAATATATAAAATATAAATCACACTTAAAGTATTATGAGTAATAAAACAACTCATAACAAAATAAATTACAATTACGTAAATTTTTTGAATAAGACAAATGGTCAAACATGTGAGAAAAAGTCAACGGCGTCATCTATTAAAAAAACGGAGGTAGTATGTTATTCCCTTTTCTGCATCCATGATAGATATTGCCTCTGGTTTTAAATGGACAAATCGGACGTCTGGCATTTCTCAGAACATCGGACGGTGTATTTGTTACAAAATGTTTCAGATGTTTCATCCATCAAGGAAAAATGTTTCATCGCTTCAACATAAGTGTTTCAACCAAATGCAATCGAAACATATTGATTGCAAAGATTCAATATATGCAACATCAAATCAAAACAAAATGAAACACCTTAATAGGAGTGCAACAAGCTTAAACAGTAGAATGCAACATCACTAAAACTCCAACAAAACAAACCTACCTCCATTTTCTTCAACTCCGGTCACCGGCCCCCGAGGAAACTCACCTCCGTCGACTTCTTCTTCAACTCTGGTTGCCGGCCCCCGAGGAAACCCACCTTCGTCTTCTTCTTTAGTTTCGGCCACCACCTCTCGACACCTACGTCTTCTTCTTCAACTCCGGTCGCCGCCACCCGACACCTCTGTCTTCTTCTTCAACTCCGGCCGCTGCCCCCTAACGAGCAACAGAGAGGTGGGTGCCCATAGCTAGGACCAGTCCCATCACCGCCGGCGCCGCCGCATAAGCTCCATCACTGTGTGGCTTTCTGCGAGGATCAGTGCCTCAATTATCCCGCGTCGTCTCGCCCTCCGTTGCTGCCGCTGTGTAGCCAACGCTGGTGAAGCAGCAAGAGAGAAGAAAGAGAGAGAAAAGAAGGAATCTGTGGTGGAGAAGGATGTGGGATGTGGCTGTGTGTTTGGATAAGGTCGACGTCCCATATTTTGCAGTGTCTGGACGTTCGTCCGGAAGCATTTTCGGTTTTTAACATATGATGTAGTTAAATTATTTCTAATTCGTTTGAGTTTTTTTTTTCTGAAAGAAATATTTAGACAAATATATATAAACATATTAGACATGCTTAAAGTGCTTTTGATGGTAAATCTAGTAATACTCCTTTTGCTTTACTTAAACTAAGTAATTGTATAAATATTGGTTGTTATATATTAAACACTTGATCAAACACCACCGGTCCAAACACTCAGGAATTATAACATTCCAGTCCTTTTGAAATAAACCCTGTTAAAGTATATAAGAATGGACACCTAGGTTAACACAAACCCCGAAGTTGGGGTCAACACCATACCTTGTGGGACCTCTTGGGAGTTCAATAGCAACAAACCATTGCACCACCTAGAAGGTGATGACATGATGTGGTATATTAAGTACTAGCATAATGCCCCTGCGTTGCAACGGATTCTAAATAACATTTATTGACATAAATTAAAATCCTAAACCATGCATATATCACAATTAGACTGAAGGGAATATGATCACAGAAATAACAGTATTAAACTACAACTAACTTTGGCTGGAACGATATTTCAATATCAGAAAAAATTATATAACTAAATCCTTATTTTATTTAGCTATAAATAATTCAATACAGAGGAAATTGCAAGTTACAATAATTTTTTAGTGGATCAAATAGCACTAAAACTAATATCGCAAACGAAAAAACAAATGAAATTAACTAGAAATTAAAAAAGAACCTATTTTAGCCCATTGATGAAAATTTGATCCATAAAATCTGAACGGGTACCCGTTTCATTGATATAAATTAGAATTTCATGTTCTGATCATATTCCTATGATCTCAATATTATGTAAGTGGTCCAGGAGCATGGTTGGGCTAGACCACGAAGGATTAGAGCCTTCGTCCATAGATGGTGGAGGTTGCCAATGAAAAAAAAAATCAAAACAACATGAAACAAGAAACAGAAAAGGAGGGAAGATGGACATCAGTCCTCCGGCGACCAAACTGTGGTGAGTAAGGTGGCCGGACATGCCCCACGATGTGACTAGTTCGTAGATGGTGGTGGTTGGCAATGAAGAAAACCAGAATAGCAGGAACAACAATGATGTGGTCCTGATAGAGAGAGAAACAGTAACGACAAGCTCTGGTGGTGAGGACGACCAGATGAGTGCGTCAAAACGTGTTCCTGGATGAGGAGGTTCCGTTTTCCTTGAATGTGTAGGAAGAACGAAAGATGGAGAAAGGCGACTAACGTTGTTCATTGTCTTCCCTAGCCTAAACAAAAAACAGAACATGAGTGAAGATGGGCGCTCATGCTCTGGCGACCAAACGGTGGTGAGTAAGGTGGCTGGACGTGTCTCATGATGTGACTCGTCCATAGATGATGGAGGGTGGCAACGAAGAAAAACCAGACATAGGAAACACGACCAGCAACAACGTTGTCCTGATAGAGAGAGAAACAACAACGACGAGCTCTTGTGGTGAACACGGTCGGTGAGTGTGTCAAAATGTGTTCCCAGACGAGGAGGTTCCATTTTTGTTGAACGCACAGGAGGGAGGGAGTGTAGGGGAGAAGAGGAGCGCTGGGAGGAGGGGGCGACGGGGAGGAGGAGCGCCAGAGAGGAGAGAGGCCGTGGGGGGAGGAGAGGGGCCGGGGGAATGGGGAGCATGTCCAATGGGGTTGGATCGGATGATTTTTTGGGATTGTGAGAGAGAGATAGAGGTCGTCGGGAGGAAGGGGGATCAGGGGAAGGGAGGAGGTGGAGGCGCACACGAGAGGGAGGGAGGGAGGGAGGCGTGCGGCGCATGGGAGGGAGAGGGCAGCCAAAAATCTCGTCCAGAAGCCTTACGCATTTTTAATTAGGTATATATTAATTGTCGATATATGAGTTCAGCGTAGTGCTGACCCGATGCCACTTGTGCATAAGGTTCCGCTAACGTGGTAGCGGTTACTATACCATGCTCGCTGGCGTTGAGCCATTGGAACTCAGTGCCTTTGGCCCTGGTTCTGTCCTCGAAGTCCATTTTTTATATAGTTTTTGTGCAGGGTTCATTTATAAAATTAGTTTTGTAAAAGGTCAAAGTGTTAAAATTTCAGCCAAACACTTGACCATATGCCCATAATAAAAGTAAAATGTTGTTACACAAAGTGCACATGCACGGATCATGCTTCTTTCCCTCCCTACTTGACCCTAAGTTCGGACTTCGCATGACGTATCAACACCGACAAGGTGTGCAATGGGGTGCTAACCCTAGCAGTGGACATGCTTTGTGGCAGTTCTGACACATAATCTCCTTCAGAGGTTAAGGAAAATGGTTACATTTTTATCCCCATTTAGTTTAAAAGGGCTAAGTCCATGGTGCTATGGTTGGAGCACAAATGATTGTATGTTGGCTTGAAATTATCTAAACTCAGGTTAGACTAAACTGGAAAACTAGAGCAAACACATGGCAAAATAAAAAAATATTAATGGGCAAACTAGAAAGTAATTCGAGCAATTTTGTTTTTTCCCCTACTTTGATGTCTAATACTGATTTTACCCTTACTTTTTAGGGTTTTTGTTTTTGCCCCCAGTTTTTTGAACCGGACGATCATCCGGCCCCTATTTTGGATGGTGAAGTTAAAGGTGTTAAGTAATTGTCACAAGGACATTTATACCCTCTTATATTTTTTTTATTAATTGTGTTTTTGCCCCCATCTTATACATGTTGCTTTGGAACTTTATTTTTTTGAATATATTTAAAATTAAATGATACACATTGACTAATATAACAATTAGGACAGATTCAGACCTAATTGTTGTGGCAATGTATGTCCTGTCTCCTGTCCTAATTGTTATATTAGTCAATGTGCGCCATTTCATTTTAAATATATTCACAAAAATAAAGTTCCAAAGCAATATGTATGAAATGGGGGCAAAAACGCAATTAACGAACAGAAATAGGAGAGGGTATAAATGCCCTTCTGCCAATTACTTAACATTGTTAACTTCCCCATCCAAAGTAGGGGCAAACGATCGTTCGTTTAAAAGAAGTGAGGGCAAAAACGAAAACCCTAAAAAGTATGGGTAAATCAATATTAGACATTAAAGTAGGGCAGAAACGAAATTGCCCCAAAGTAATTAGAGAATATCACACCCCACTACAGGGTGTGACCTCAGGCAACATATTGCATATATGATAGGGCTAATTAATGGGTGAATAGGAAAATTATTATCTAGGATATTACTCTCATCCCCATCCCCATCACTCTTCAAGGCTAATGTCCTTGGTAGCTTAGCATACAAGTACATAACAATGGGCATACCTCAGTGGTACGAAAGCACGTTGGCATGAACACACACCCATGCCATGTTTACGCAACTAGAATAGGAGGTGCCGGTGGTGGATGTTGGATTATAGGTTGGATTAAAAGATGCTCTCAAAAGCTGCTAGGGTGCAACTTTTGTAAACTAGATGAATACCCCGCCGCGTTGCTGCTGGAAATTAAGTTGCATAATATGTACAAAGAAGATGAAATATGAATATTAAAACTAAAACAAATTGATACTTATGAATTTTGAGGCCTAAAAATGATTGAGATTACTTGGTGTTATGAGAGGAAAGAAGAGAAAATTTGAACCATAGATCTATCATCCAATGGCTAGAAATAATTGGGGTGATATGGCTTAATGAGAGAAGAGAGAAATAGCATTAACTACACTTAGTGGGGATGAACTATATAAGTATATAGGATAAGAGGACTCACTCCTGGAGCTTCCCGTAGTGGTTGTTAGGCAAGCTGCAGGTTGAGCACGGTGCTCAATATAACTTAGTTGGCTACTTTGAAGCCGTGCACACATAGAGAGATAGAGAGAGGGGGAGGGGAGCGCGGAAGGGAGGGAGAGAGAGATGAGGTGTGGTGGCTGAGGGTAAGGTGGCCGGCAGGAAGAGAGGGGAAAGAATAAAGGGAGGATGACACATGTGAGGGCCTTTTTTTAGCTTCTTCTTTTTTGTCTGATTTGATTGCCACTCAACACCACATTAGGGAAGACCACTCTAACTTTAATATAGGATATATGCAAAGTGATTTTTTTTAAAAAAAGTTCAATGTTGAACGGTGTCCAAATGAAATTTAGGATTTATTTTTAGAGTTGTAAAATGGATTATTTTCCTAATATATTTCACTTAACTCGACAGACATTAAGCATCCATGGCTTTTAATTGGCTATCTATGTTTTAGTTCAAAAATCAACTTTCCCACCTCTTTATTCTAAATACTAATGGTGCGCATGTGCGGGGAAAATCCCACTAAGGTTCTATTTGTAAATATCTATTCTAGCGCTTCAGTGTATAAATATATGTTTTGCAGGTTTCCAAGGTGGGCTCAACCATCCATGAGATATGTTGTAACCTTTACAACGCAAGTACCAATGCGACGCATTCTCTCTAAAAAGATAATGGCTATCAACACCAGGCTTGAGGAAATTATTCAAAACAAAGATAGGTACAAGATGGACGATGTGAATAAGGGAATAGAAGTGACATGGAAGGCTTCAACGTCAATATCCGAAAGCAATTCTGAGCTGTAAGTGTGCAAAAGTGCATTTTTCCTTGTGTTTTACATGCTTCTCTAGTTGGTTCTCCATTATCCAACATACTTAGTGTGCACTTAATTAGATTTACCAAGGTAAATTGTTTATATAAATTGTTAGAGAGGATATATAGGTGTAATTTCTATAAGAAATATACCAACAAAGCACCAAATGCATTGTTGTCCATCACACATGTTCTAATATTTATGGACAGAACTATTAAAAATACAATCATGTTTGAAAGTTTAGCCACACACATTCCTTGAACACAGAGATATGTAGCCTAGGGGGGGGATAGGTTTACCTGAAATTCTAAAAACAAATCGCAGCGGTTAAATTAACAGGGTCCGGAACATCCTGATGAAGAACGCCAGAACTTCCGGTGTTGCAAGACAGGAACTTCCGAGCAATTGGTAAATCAGAGCAAAGATTCAAACTTCGACTCAAGAAACTTGACCTATTAGAGCAATATAAAACATAGGATAACAAAAAAGTAAATGGATCACAGAGACGAGCACAAAATCATCATAGAGAGGACAAGAGGGATTTTTTTTCCTGAAGTTCGGATCGCACGTATCCTACTCTCTGTTGAGGAACTCTGAAGAGTTGGGTCTCGATTAACCTCTTGCCTCTCTTGTGCAAAGATTCCAGAAAAGGTCCACAGCCTTCAATCCAACACCCTTAGGTTATTCTCTAGAATTTGAGTGACCGCCAAGATCCAACTCAACTTTCTTCTAGAGAGGACCACAAGTGAGAATTGCTCTACTAGGACGATCTCTGAAACCTTAGCACATTTTCCTTAATCACTTACCTCGTTTCCTTGCGGAGGTGAGGAATACCTTCACAAACTTGCCCGGGACATCCACAATCTCGAAGGAAGCTCATGGGCGACACCTAACCGTCTAGGAAGAGACCTCCAAGAGTAATAAGCTCCAAATGACAGCCCACGAGATACCCCAAGTGCTCAATTCATCCTAACCTTCAAAACCTTTTGCAAATCTCTCTAACACCCTCACAATCACTCTCTCACACAAGAATGGCTCAAGATTTTGGGTGGGGGAAGCAAATTCACCTTGGGAGAGGCTAGAAATAACTAGGGAACGGAAGAGCAAAAGTGAAATGTCCAAAGAATGAGCTGGGTCTGAGTTTGATATATATAACAAATATGTGACGTCATCTAGCCGTCACTCACAGATTTGAACTGAAGGGTGGACCGGAAGTTCCTGGTCCTGGGGCTAGGAACTTCCGACCAACATTTAGGAAAATGTCGACTTCACCTCAGCTAGGAACTTCCGGCCCAAAGTGCCAGGAACTTCCGTCCGGCCCTTGCTGTCTTGAGAAGACCCATTCTAAAAATGGCTCTTAAAAATATTTCTTCGCTTGGACAGGAGTAAGAGCACTTGTACTATCTCAGAACCACACCTAGAATCCCTCTTAATAGTATGATTTTTCCTAAACTCGAATGCAAAAAAGTAAACTAGTCTAATACAACTCCGAGTTCTTTCGCCATTTTAAATTTGTTGATTTGGGGGTTCTCCAAGCATCCTGGGACTAAAACACTTGCATTTTACTCCATAAACACATTGATCCCTTAACCACTTCATCATTAATCACCAAAAACCACTAGGGGGATAAATGCACTTTCAATTCTGGAAGAGAAATATTTGTGAACAAACAAAAAGTAACAAAGAATAAAGTATGAAACTATAGTGACAGCATTTTGGATGTAAATATATAATCCAATGGCCTAGAATCCTGTTGGACAGTCTAATAAGTAGATAGATCAAAAATTAATGTTCCCAATGATGAAAAATGGTGGAAATGGCATTCCAATCCAGACTTGGTGGTGTGGTTCTCTTCTATTTTCCAATCTGCAGATGGCATATGATTTCTTTAACTACATATAGATACAACTGTGTTTTCTTAATCACACCGAACACTCGTAAGTCTTTGACTTGCTAAAAAGTGGAGATGTATATTAATAATGTTTATATCTTAATTAGTGTCCACATATAATTAAACATATATGGAATTACTTTAATTGTTACTTTGAAAATTTACCGCACACAATTCTCTCAGGGCATGTGTTGTGGTGTGCATATGTTGCATGTAAATGGAGAAAAAATAGTAGCTTTAGGGCTACTTTTGATTGAAGGAAATTCAAATAAATTTTAAAGGATTCTAAACACAAGGATTTTTTTTGCTCTATATTATTGTTTGGAACAAAAGATTTTAGCATACCAAATTCCCATGGATTGCTATGCTCTGGACCCATTTTATATATAGAAAATTTTACACTAAGCTTAAACCTTATTTTACATTTCCTTTGAGAAGTCCAATATACATCTTATCTCTCTTAGTTCCATCAAATTCCTATGGTTATATTCCAATGATTCATCCAAACACAAATATGTTTCGATTCCTATGTTTTGAATTACCATAGGATTTGTTCACATGTGACACTCTAATCTTGTCTTCTTTTCTATTCCTGCATTTTTGAAATCTTGCATTCCAAATGATCCCTAATACTTTTCATGTAAAAGGGGTTAAGCCACTGGAAAGTTGTCATGTTTGACATTGGTAGTTATAGCACAAACTGGTAAACCAAATAATATTGGTAATTTCTTTAAAAAATTACACTTATCATATCATTAATGAAAATATAACTCAGCCTCTACACCAACCATTAATGTATAGAGGCTTTTAATTATGGGACTTAAGTACCATATAGTCATAACTCCAGTGTCAGACCAAATATACTTCGTGATCAAGCAAGAGCACATCGACGAAACACTTTTTATAGCTCCATGCATTTTTACAAGAGAAATGCTATATAAATTATAGAAAAAGAATAAAAACAAATAATGAACATCAAACTGAACATTATTCAAACCTCAACTGTCATGCATAGTTTTTTACCTCGGTCTTGTTTAATAGTGATTTTGGATGACATGGTGCCAAGATGGTATACCAAGAAAAAGTAGGTTTTTGAGTAAAATGGATCTTATGAAATCTCACTTATAGAAACCACCAATATTCTTGACTAATTTTGTACATACAAAATAAAGTAGGTTAATTGAGTTATAAAACATTATTTAAAACCGAACGAAACCATTTTTTTTGGGGAAACAATTTATGTAGGTTCTAAATACTCTAATGTGCATGCGTGTTCTAACTTTTTCAGTATTTACTACTCCCTCCGTTTTTTAATAGATGATGCCGTTGACTTTTTCTCACATGTTTGACCATTCGTCTTATTCAAAAAATTTATGCAAATGTATAAGATATAAATCACACTTAAAGTACTATGAGTGATAAAATAACTCATAACAAAATAAATTATAATTATGTAAATTTTTTGAATAAGATGAATGGTCAAACATGTGAGAAAAAGTCAACGGCGTCATCTATTAAAAAACGGAGGTAGTAGATGTTTAAAAATATTTTTACTTGGGCCATGTTACTGCCACGTTATGCAAAACAACTTTGAAATTTGCCCAAGGTATGTTGAAATATACACCATATATTATCAAATTTTAGGTCTGTATGATGAACCGTGTGGATATTAGGTACAAAGTAGAAAAGCTCTCAAACTAATCAGAAATAGATAGACTTAAATTTACCTTTTAAATTTACTAGAAAAAGTTTGTTTTTTGAAATTACTAGCATGCACCTACTAGCTGCTTCATGACTAGCATTGCATAAATGCTAGTGGTTAAGATAAAAATTATACTGAAATACGAAAAAAATACATGTACATAAAGTGCATGCCTCATCAGTAATCTCTTCTCCTTCATAAAGTTACATAAACGGGTTTTGGGCTTATATATGTACACAAGATTCTGAATTACCAATATTTGGGGAAAAGGCAGCTAGATGGTTCAAACTTGATACTGATTCTCAATACACTGCACTTTGGCATTATGCAAATTTACTCTTTAATGTACTAACTGTATAATGTTTTAACTACAGGGATGATTTACAACAAGGAAATTTGACATTATATGAAGAGCACCAAGAGGAACTTGAGAAAGCCCTTACTCCAACAGATCAAGAACTACAGAAAAATGATAATCGTCCAATTGTGGTCTCTGTATCTGGAAAGAGTGGGGTTGGCAAGACAACTCTTGTGAGAAATGTGTACAATATAATGAAGAAGAAGAATTGTTTTGATGTTCATGCTATGGAGAGTTTTGCACCTCATTTAACAGCCCCCAACATCCTACATCAAATTGTTCAGCAGCTTACAGAAGACAACAAGAATTGTCCTAGAAGCATGGTCCATGAAATGTTGGCTACAGCGTTGAGAGATAAGAAATACTTACTGGTGATAGATGGTGAAGTTAGCAGAACTGAATGGAAGAACATTATCACTATGCTCACTACCCTTGCAGTCGGTTCTACTGGTAATAGAATAGTGCATATCAGATTTGACAGACCAGAACAGTCGTCTCTCTATTATCATCATCACATTCGGTTAGAACCTCTTGAAAATAATGTTGTCATGAAATTGTTCCACAAGCGATTACGAAACCAAGACAAGCAAGGTGATGCCGGAGGTCCAATGGTATTGAAGTTGAAGAAACTACTCCAATTTGATGCACAATATCAAAAACTTGAAGAATACCGTGAAGACATATGCAAAATCACGGAAGGGTTGCCTCTGGCTGTTGTTCTTTTATCAGGTCTTGTCCAAACCAAAGAGTTTCCCCATGAGTGGACAGAAGTATTCAAGTATCTTAGTTCCAAGAAATCAAAGCGGCTCGACAATCTACTGTCCCTGTGTTTTGATGATCTTCCACACGAACTGAAATGTTGCTATCTATACTTTGCTGCATTTCCTCCCAATGTAGTGGTCGAGGCACGCAACTTGGTGTGTATGTGGATGGCAGAGGGATTTCTAACACCTAGAGTTGGAAAGACATTGGAGAAGGTGGGCTACATCTTCCTGAATGAGCTGATTTCCAGGAATCTAGTCAATCTTGTTCTTGTAGATGATAATTCTACTACCGGGACTATGTTCATCTCCATCCAAAACAAAGTACATGAGTTTTTGCAATCTGAAGCGCATGAGGCAAGTTTCTTGGAGGTGCATAGTGGTGATGACATCCCTACTTTGACAAGTGCTCGTCGCCTCTCTCTACAGAATTACACAGACAAGTATGCGGCCCTAGCTAATCCATTGCCAAAGCTACGATCCATCTTCTCTCAGTTTGAGCAAGAGCCAAAGGAACAAGAGCCCAAAGGAGACCAAACTAGACAATGTTGCACACCACCTCAACAGTGGATAACCAACAAGAAGCAGAAAGACATCAGATCTCACATAAAAGGATTGCTACAAGGATCAGAGTTCCTCCGTGTCATTGACCTACAAGGGATTGAGATTGGTGATGAGTTGCCACATGCAATAGGTAGTGTTGTGCATCTGCAGTACCTTGGAATTACATCTTGTTCATTGACAGTGATCCCTCCGTCCATTGGAAGCCTGAGTGGTCTACAGACATTGGATGTCAGAGAAACTAATGTTCGGAAGCTCCCACTGAACTTTTGGTTGATGATCAAGACACTAAGGCATGTATTTGGTTTTACCCTCAAATTGCCTAAACAAATTGGCAGCATGAAGCATATGCAGACACTTGACTCAATAGAGCTTGACAACTGTGAGAAGGATTTGATTGGGACAGTTGGAAAGATGGTCCATCTAGAAAATTTATTTGTTTGGAACATTACAACTGGTAATATGGAGGCTTTGTTTGCTGCTCTGAGCAAGCTAGAGAATCTTAGGAATTTGGCCTTGCATGGCCACATTATTCCATCAACCGTGTTCATCACAATCTCGCTTCGCCGCCTCAAGTCCATGAAGTTACAAGGGAAACTAAAATTTTTATATGAGATAACTGGTATGGATGTATGCCTTCCTAATCTCAGCATGCTTTCATTGGAGAAAACAAAGGTATCTCAGGGATTCATTTCAAAGCTTGCTGAACTCCCATCTCTTGAAACCCTTGCCTTATATTCTGAGTCATACAAGGACGAGCATCTTTTATTCTCTTCAATTGGATTTGTTAGTCTGAAGAAGATCAAGCTTGATGTACCAACAACGCTGAAAACTATTGAGATAGAGCAAGGTGCGCTTCATATTCTCAAGGAATTTGATATTCTCTCTCAACGTCCCCATGTCAAAATCATTGCGGAAAGACGCATCAAAAAGCTCATTGTCTAATGATTTTCTAAATACTAAAAAGATTGATGCAATTGAGGATGAAGACATCTAATGAAAAGGTAATTATGGTATTACTACTACTGTGTGTGCTTACTATAGTTTACAACTTACTAGCCGCTCTCCATCGAATGACTAACTGTGGGTGCCGATGTGTGTATGTGTTTCATGGCACTCTAACTTGTATGTTGCCTGAAGTTTGTGTTACTGTGTGTGTTTGACTAATACCTTTATAGCGTGTGTTTTATGTCCAAAAAAATGTGCAGTGTTCGCTCACTTGTGGATGCTTTGTAAATAAATTAAGTGTTCTTCCGGATGCTATCAGTATTGTGATGTATATGAACTCATGTAATAGTGTGGCAAAACTATGTTGATGATTGTCCTGCCACAGGGCCACAAATATCCTTGTAAATATTATTGTGTTATGGATTTTTTACCTTTGCTATCTGCAGTGCACCTAAAATCCTTTACCAAGAATTTGCTAGCAAAGATCACATATGCTCTATGGAACTATTTGTCAAGAAAAGTTTTCTCTGTTGTAAAACCAAGGCAAAACATTAGTGGAAAGGAAAACTCCAAGCAATTAATGGATGGATTTGTTTGTTTTGTTCCATGAACAACTTCACAGCCATATATGGCCCAACCCTAAAATAGGGGCGGAAATGAGCTAAGCGCGGAGCTTGGTTTGGCTTGCATTGTGGAAGCTTGATGAAAGAGACGCTCAGCTCGGTTTAGTTAGGATCACGAGCTAAAGTGTTGCTTGTCTAGGCTAGTTCTTGAGGTCAAGCCATCTCTCGTAAACCGACGAACAAAAACACTTCCAGAGGGAGTACAAGCAGACTACAAAATCACAAACAGACGACAGCCGCGGTTTGGCACACCACAATGGTCGACAAGGTGATGGATGACAATGGAGCAGTGATGTGGGCAGGAGTGTCACACTAATGGGCAAGCCTGTCGAAGGTTGTGTGCGACATTGGCGATGATAGAGTGTCCCCCAATTTTTTTGGGGCACCCAAGTTAATCGGAGAGGCGCACATTAATGCATAGCCGAGCCACAATCCTGCTTCTACCTGTGAATCGATTAGAGAGGCCCATCTGCCATCAGGTGCATTGGAGGCTGAGAGGCGAACGAGATCAAGTCACACTGTTGTGTAGTCATGTCGTGTGACTGGAGTCAATCTCGATTTCAAATTCGACGATGAAATGACGATGCCTGCAAAGTCCCGACCCCAGCCCAACACGAGGCAGCGAGCGACCAACGGGCAAGCGCCATCAATGCCAAGCGGTTGGCCGGCTACCTTTGTCAGTGCCTCTCATCCACTTATCTTCGTGTCCCTGACTACTACCTTTGTGCAGCATTGGAAAGTTACTTTTAGACTTAAGAGTTGAGACATTGAGTCTCGTATCAAATAGTAGATGTAATATGAATCAAACTATCGATTGAATCAAAACTTAAATAGTGATGTGACTGTTTGACTCAAATTACTTTTCTTTTGTTTATGAAATAGGAAGACACTTATTTCCTCAATCCTCATTATGTCAGCTAGAAATAGGAAGTACGATTCTGGTGCTGAAAAGCGAAAGAAGAGGCAAAGACCAGAAGAAGCAATTCAATCTCAAAAGGGTGTTCTTTGATATTTTAAAGTTTTGAAGGAGCGCCCCTTTTATCCTAATGCTATTATTGCATACAAAGTTTTATTAGCCATTCATGTGAGGCTGTGACCGTTGCATCTATGGAAAGGAGCTTTTCTAAACCCAAGTCGTTGTACTATGATATAAGAAAGACTCGATGGATTGGCAACAATAGAAATTGAAAATGATGTCTCGGAGTAGATTAATTACGTACATATAATTTAATATTTTATTTTAAAAAATAATAGACAAATGGTGCTTTTCTGTAGAACATGAGGTTAGCACTACATTGACAATTTTAGCGTTAATATTTGATATATTTTTGTATGAAAATAACACATATTGAAGTTATATAATTGAGTGAAACTATGCCTTGTTTATATTGTTTATATTAGACATATAAAATTTTGAAAATTTAGGGTCCAATTTGCATTTCATCCCAAGGTCCCAAATTCCTGGAGATGGCCTTGGTAATGGGTCTCCTGTTGGTAGGCCACCATAGGGGTGCAAGCTAAATGATAAAACGATTGGCTCTCGAGCCAAGTTGAGTCGACAATGCAAGTCTGAGTTACATCAATCATATCAAATTCTCACGCAATATTATCTATACTACTATAAAGGATTATAAGGATAATAGTGGTGGTGGTTCTATCATCAGTCTACCACTCTACCACCACTATTTTACATGTTTTACAAATTAGTTCTTGATATTTTCTGATATTATGTAATAGTCAATATTTGTTTGAATCAAGTAATTAACATAATATTCAAATAAGCATGGGCATTTTTCTAGTACTAAATAGAAATCCTTAAGGAAAAATTTTAATATCAATAACTTAACTTAAAGATGACGATGTATAACAACAAATAGGAAGCAATAAAAATGTTTACCAAAACAAAGAAACCCACTGATAATAGTGGTTTTTTCTAGCATGATGAAGTAGGTAATATTAAAAATCCGGAGAAGATGGTCAGAATCGGCATAATACATCAATCGAACTCAATATCCACAATAGCCTACACTAAAAGAAGAACACAAATATCACAATTACAACTTAAGAACTATGAGATAATTGTTGACGGATATTATAGACCAATTTCGACTATCAATATATTCGGAAATCAAGGAGAACTAGCAATGCTTGCATGCATATTTGTCTAACAATAATATATTTCCACTTGTACTTGGAACTTTATTTGTATATAGAGATCTTCATACAAATGGAGAAGAATAATGGAAAATATTATCAAAGACACACCTCCGACCAATCAGGCGCGAGTATAAGGATTGAAGGGCCCACAAGTCAGGTGAAACCACCACAAAATGGGTCATAACTATCATAACGCCATAAGGACCCACCAGTCAGCCTCCTGGCCAAAGGATAGGCCAGGAGGTGGGGCCTAGGGTTTGGCTGAACCGCCATCAGGCCCTTTCATCCTGGCCGTACACGTGGACATCCCTGATCACTCCCCAATGATGGTTGCGGGGCATTTCTGACAATTCCAACCGCCACAACCATCATTGGCAGCCTGTTTAAGGAGTTCACCTTATCCACTTCAACACAAACCAAGAAGAAGAAATCAAGAATTCTCTTTAGTTTATTTACTTTGTTCTAGTACTAGTGGAGTAGAATTAGAATAGTTTCTTAGTTCTTCAAGTCTTCCGAAGATTTCGGGTATGGCTCTAGTATCCCTTCTACCTCTTGTAAGACTTTATTCAATAATGAATATTCTTATTTATATAGCTTTGGTACTTTACTTTACTTATATAATTATTCGAGTACCGACTTTTGCTTATACTTGTCTCGTAAATCGTAATAATTATGTAGCAAGCTTACTAGAGATATGCAATGGTATTGGTTTAATGTTCATTTATATGATTGCTCTATGTCATCTGCAGAGATGTAGAGTAGTATTTAGTAATGTAAGCGCAGTGCTTAGATTATTAGATACCATTAAAAGCTGTTATATGCCACATGTCTGTAGAGGTAGGTCACTAATGGTGACAACTCAGTACGAGTATTCCTCCACGTGCATATATAATACTAAGAGAATTTCCTGGTGTGGGTACTCCTCCGTATTCTTTACCAGTTGGATGGCTGTGACGGGTTGTCGTAAGAAACTCGGCAATTAGGGGTGGCTTCAAGATATACTAGGAGGGCATAGTTAGGGGGTATTGGCTGCATAATTGTACAATAGCAAGTGTAGATTAAAATAATTATATATTAGAAGTGCAGAAATGATTCTTTTCTTATTCTTTCTCCACTTAGTTTAGAATATTTTTTGAATGAGAGTATTATGATTAGTTTCTTCTATGTGTCAACCTACCCTATACTCGAATTGATTAACCCCTGCGTTAGACTTTGATCTATACAAGCGATAAAATTATTAGCATAATACTCTCTTATCATATCTTCCCTTGGGATTAAATAAATAGATACCTTGGAATACAACGGTATATCCGCGTGCTTGCGGATTATAACTGTATCCGTAAAGAATACCGAGTAACATTTCGGGCTTCATTGTTGGAAATTATATTTCTAGTAATGTCGTTAAGAAATATCAACAATAATCATGTGAATAATTACATTATCTAATCCCTATGACTGGGATGTAAGCAACTAAGCATCAATTTTATTTCTTAATTAAGCCTAGATAATAATGTTCAGTCTCCTCTTACCAATGGATATTACCTTAATATAAATATATATGGATACGTAAATCATTGGTGCTGTCTTGCCTTTCGTTTTAAGAAATTCATCCATAAATTCACGTGCCATTTGCAGCAAGTTAAGGAATAAAAACAGAAGTGTTGTATTATACAACAGTGTTGCATTGCGTCAAATATGTCAGCCTATGTGCAATTCTGCTCCAAATTGACAGACGACCCGAATCCTGAAATCTGAAAAAAAATAACAGAAAAAAAATCATATAAATTAAAATCCTACGTAAAAATTTAGTATCTTTTTAAAAAGCAAACTAATTAACGAAGAAAGAGAAATAAGAAAAGAGGGGGTAACATCAATAGTGTGGCAGTAAAGTCGTGGCTATATAACTCCAATCATCATGGTTCAAATCCTAGAGAAGAGGGCCGTAAGAGCAGGTGCAATAGATGCTCCAACACTAAAAGCATTTTTGTAGGCGGTAAAAAATAGTTTTTCCAGGCAGGGGGAAGGACTGCCTGTAGACAAACGACTACGAAAATAGCCCGCTTGCGAAAATCATTTTTACAGGCGGCATCTATTTTCGCAGGCAGTAGATCCACCCGCCTGTGAAAATATTTTCAACTAACAAAAAAAAAATCCGGCGCCACCACCTAATCCGTTGGCGGCGTCGACGGCCTCTCCCTCCAGCGGATCCAGGCGATGGCGGCGTCGTCGTCGCAGTCAGCGGTGGGACCCAAGCGTCGGCGTCACGGTAGTCGTCGTCGTCACGGCCGGCGGCGGAGGGAGAGGAGAAGGAGGGGAGCGAGCCGGCGGCGTCGTTGTCGTCGTCGCAGTTGGTGCAGGACCTAAGCGGCGGCGGCGGCGTCATCGTGGACGGCGGCAGAGGGAGAGTAGAGCTAAGGGAGAGGAGAGGGAGGGGAGCCGACCTCCTCTCCATCCGCATCGCTGCCCCCTCTGCCCGCGCCTCTGTCTCTGCCCTCCGCCCGTGCCACCGCCGCCGCCCCTCCCCTCCGCCCGCACCGCCAACAACCTTGAAGACACCCTTGCCAACGCCGACCCTGAAGACGCCCTTGCCGCCGCCGCCACCTCCCCTCCCCTCTGGCCGCCCCTCCGCCCGTGCCGCGCCGCCACCCTTCCCCTTCAGTCGCGCCTTTGCCGCGGCCCTCCGCCCGCGCTGCCGCCGGCCTTGAAGAATATATGGATTTAGGAGAGAAGAGTGTGCTTAGAGCATTCATGGTGTATGCTTTATCTGGGTACTACAAAAGAGAGAAAAGAGATAGTGCCGATCTTAAACATTACAGAGAAAATAACATGTGCTGAGAAGAGAAGAGTCGATCCTAGCCGAAGCAACCGGTGTTATGGAATAAACTGGAGTAATTGTTTGTCCCACTTGTCAGAACATGCAAGAGAAGGGATTGAGGTGGAAAAAAAAAGAGAAAGTGTGATCGTTTATTCTGTGGGTCCCACCGTTAGCTCTCGGTAGGACACTGTGAATCTCTAAATATCGAAATCTATGCGGATCCACGTGCAAATAGCCCCTCCACGTGGCCCTGCGCGATTCCAGCTTAGATCAACGGTGAGAGATCGCTGCGGTGGACCTTGTTGTATATACGAAGTTTGAGGGTTTTTTTTTTTTCAAAATCAGTCAATCCCAAATTCCCACTTCACTCGGTTTCCTCCTCTCTTGCCTCGCCGCCGCCATGACCTCCTCTCCCCGCCGCACCTCTATCCCCTTTGCCTCCACTTACCATGGTTTCGTGGGCACCTCGGCGACGAAGAGATGTGGCTACGGTGGCAGGGAGTTTGGATCCGTTGGCGGGGAGTCACATCTTCCACATCCTGTGGTTCGCCCTCCATCCCAAATCCATTTCATCCTCTTATTCTTGAGAATTTTCAGAATATACCATTCAATTCGCAGCACCATCAGGAATTACCACCCAATTCGCAGCAATTTCAGAACATACCACTGAGGACGCGAATTGTTCCATTCCGTGACACTCCGTCCCTTCGCAAGTCACACCGCCCCGACACCCTTCACGCGCCGTCCATCCCCTTCATCTTCCGCCGCCGGCGAGCTTCTCCTCCTCCCCATGCCGGCGGCTCCTCCCCACGTCGGCAGGAGCAACATCACCTTGCGGGAGGCAACGAGGGGACGACGAGCGCCGGCGGTGGCTGATGTGGATCCAGCCGTCGAGGTTTGCCGGCGTTGTGAGGATGGGGACATGCGCGAGGAGAAGCTCCACCGCGGAGAGGAAGAGCTTGCCGGCAGTGCGGAGGAGAAGCTTGTCGGCATGGGGGTAAGATCTCGCCGGTGTGGGGAGATTGCCGGCATGTGTTGGGAGAAGTTCGCCGGCGTGGGGAGGTGCCGCCGGCGTGGGGCTCGCCGGTGTGGGGAGGAGCCGCCGACGTGGGGAGGAGGAGCCGCCGGGTGGGGAGGGGAAGGACGGCGTGGGGAGGAGGAGCTGCCGGCGTGGGAGAGGAGAAGCTCGACAGCGACGGAAGATGAAGGGATGGACGACACATGAAGGGCGTCGGGGCGGCGTGACTTGCGAAGGGACGGAGTGTCACGGAATGGAACAATTCGCGTTCTCAGTGGTATGTTCTGAAAGTGCTACGAATTAGGTGGTAATTCCTGATGGTGCTGCGAATTGAATGGTATATTATGAAATTTCTCCTTATTCTTCGAATCGATTTCCGAATGATGATGGTTTAATCTTGGGCAGCCTGGAGCAATGGCTGGAGTACTGCCCGAGAGAGGAGAATAAGTTCACTCATCACCTGCCCCATCTGCAAGTAGCCGTGTGGCGTCGCCCACACCCGACCTGCCTCTTCTTCCAGGTCACCGGAGCGTGCCGTGCCCCACACAGGTCGGCTCCTCCCACGCGGCACGGCGGCAGGAGCCCGATGCGCGGGCCGGGGCCGACCCGGAAGAGCTCGTCGCCGAGGTTGACCGGCTGGAGTAGAAGGCCACCTCCCTCGACAGGGTGCTCGACGAGCAGCACGATAGGATCCAGAAACTCAACGCTATGGCGAGCGGTGCTGTTCCCATTTGGTGAATCTCGTGTTTGGTTATTCCTTTTGACTTGGGTTGATGCTTGTTTCTTGGTGATTTGGTTCAGGTTGCTATGTGGAGGGAGAAGGCGTGGCAGCCAAGGTGATGAAGGAATTGAGGGAGAAAGAATGTGTTCATCAGTTGCTCAATGCAAAAACAGAAGTAGAATCAATCGATTTAGATTCAGCAAGATGAATGGATTTTTGATTCAGCGGTCATGTTTGATATCCCTGGTTCTTCATCTGCTCAATTGTTCATGGATTAGTGAAATTGATTTGTTCTCCATGGCAGGAATTGTGGATGAAGACATCAGAATGTACGCATATGGCAGGTTACAGTAGAAGAGCCTCCAATTGGTGAAGGAACTACCAACATGAAGCTGTATACTTTTCATTTCCACCTATAACATGCAAATGTTTATATTCGACTAGCCTAGAGCTGGTGCGTTGCAACAGAAAACACATTAAGTTTTTACCTTATTAAATCAATTAATGAGCACTTATTTAGTCCTAGTAATACTATAATTTTTCTTATTGAATAAGTACGTGATTTTGAAGTTTGAGAAGAGTCAATAGTGAAACGGGAAAGGACTTTTCGAGAGGTAATGTAATAGTATAGATTGTGAAGCCTACATATCAATGCTAGGGGTGGTTGGAAATAGACACCACCATTACTAACATTTTAAGTAGTAGATAAGGGGGGTGTATTCACTTTTTTTTCCGTTATATGAACCTTCGGGAGAAAGAAATCAAGTTGGCATCACTTAATAACCAAGGAAGCGCTGCGAAGGGAGTTGATGTTTTGACGAGATCTCTTGCTCTTCGGAACAAGTTTAATTCTTCTTTTTTTCTTATTCTGATGTACTGTGTTCATGGTTAATATGCATGACTTTAAGCATAATTAACTGATGATAGGGTTTATTAACCACTTATGTACTTGTTATACTTGCAGTGACCAATAACTGAAATCATATGCTCTTTATCTTAGGAAGTATCAGAGGCTCAGAGCCGCTGCCATTTTTTGTTATATATAGCTTTCATCCCCACACCAATTTCTGACCAAGACATGTTATACGTTTATTTTTTGCATGCAGTTTGGCAGTGAATACGAAGTAACTCATGCTATTTTGAGGTCCAAATTAACTTATCAAATTATATTGCCTTCTGACACTGTAGATCAAAATAATTGTCGTTGCATTAAGCCATTAGATGATTTTGGAATTTCCTGAACATTGCATATTCACTCAATTTGTTAATGCTGCCTCACACAGCCAAGAAGATACAATTTTCCTAATTAGCGCGTACGCACTATCAACGCGTGTTCCTGGCCCATGCTCGCACGCGGCCCACCCCTCACGCAGCCCATCTGTTCCTTTTCTCTTTTTTCTCGCTTGATATTTTTTCGCTTTCCTTTTTTTTTGCGTTTTTTCTTAATACTTTTTAATCTTACTTTTTTTCGCGCAGCTCATCTTTTTTTCGCTTTTTTCTTATTACTTTTTTAATCTTCTTATTTTCTGCTTTCTTTTTTCCGTGATTTTTTTCGCTTTCCCTTTTTTTTTGCGTTTTTTCCCACTACTTTTTAATCTTCCAGCAGCAAGTGTTTTCAATTTTTTGTGTTGAAAGTTTTTAAATATTGACTGTACTTGAAAATTTTTAAATCTTAATTAATTTAAAAATTTTTAAATCTCGACTTGAAAGTTTTCGAATCCGAGTTGAAAGTTTTTAAAATCTCGAGTTGCTCTTGAGTTGAAAGTTTTCAAAATCTCGAGTTGAAAGTTTTCAAATCTCGAGTTGAAAGTTTTCAAACCCTAGTTGAAAGTTTTTCAAATTTGAGATGAGAAGTTGAAAGTTTTCAAATTTTGATTTCAAAAATTCAAATTTCGAGTTGAAAAGTTTTTAAATCTAGATTGAAAGTTTTCAAAATTTGACTTCACGTGTAGATCTGTTTTTAGTCTGTTACTTAAAAAAAATTAAAAAATTAGGACACGGCAAATTACCGAGAAATCAAAACTAGTTATGGCGCTAATTACAACGTTAATCGTGGGTTGTCGCACGAGGGTTGGGCCGCGTGCGCGTTGCTGACACGCACGCACCAACTAGGAATCCCCAAGAAGATACTCCCTCCGGACTGATAATATTAGTCGTTTTGGATAAGGGTAAAGTCAAACTTTAAAATCTTTGACTACAAATAATTTCTAAAATATTTATCTTAAAAATATAAAAACCATATGTGTAGATTAGTCTTAAAAAGTACTTCAAACAAACCATATATTTGTTGATATTTCTATATATATTATAATAGAAAATAATTGTCAAAGTTACTTTTTGGAGACCGTGCCCTTCTCCAAAACGACAAGTATTATTAACCCGGAGGGAGTATATGTGCAGCTCAGCATTCCATACTGGGAGGGCGGAGACGATAAGCTACATCCCGTTTAACCGGTTCCAATCCTACCCCTCTGAGATCGACGGTTAGATGTGAGTGGCACCTCCTGGTACCTGGTACCTGGTACCTCTTGGTACCTCCTCAAGAATGGTAAAAATTCTCATATTTATTTGATGCTTTTGCTTTGTACCCGTTTATCGTAAGGGCACGGCAAAGCCGCGCTAAGTTTTCTAGTTTTTTTTTCTATAGATGGCCAAATAGGCCGCCCGGACCGACACGGCCTGACCTACACGCAGGGCTAGGCCGTGCCCACTCACTTGCTGCACCATCAGCCCAGGCACAGCCCAATAAGACTTGGGTCGTGCCGGGCCGACCCGAAGACATGAAAGCCTACGGTGCTCCTTCTTGAAAAAACTTTGGCTCCCTAATCTCTTTGTGCCGTCTCTTATATGTTTGGAATAAGTTTATTTTGCATTCCTCGTCTCTTTGGGACATACCTTATATGGCTAGAATAAGTTTATTTTTGGCTCCCTCAACTACTTAACTCTCTAATCGTTGGACTGGGTCATACCGGATTGGCCTATCATGCCGAGGCAGAGGCCCAAACATGGTCTAATTAAAGGTCGTGCTGTGCTTGGACTGGGCCAAAATCTCGTGCCATGAGCCGGGCCATCGGGCCTCAGGTCTTTCGGTTTACCGTGGGACCTATTCTACAGTACCCTGCAGGTAATAAACGCTAAAGAACTTTGAAAAAAGGTACTACCTCCGTCTCAAATTAGTAGTCGCTTTAACTTTTTTTCTTATAACGTTTGATCTTTCATCTTATTTGAAAAATTAGTGTAAATATAAAAACGAAGAAGTCATAATTAAAGTATTTTAAATAATAAAGCAAATCACAAATAAAATAAATAAAAATTCCATAATTTTTTTGAATAAGACGAAAAATCAAAAATTAAAAAAAAAAAACTCAAAGCGATAAGAATTCTAGGACGGAGGTAGTAACTGTGTCGGTATATATATTTTAGAATGGAGTCAAAACATTTTTTTTCCGACTTATCGAGTTGAAAACATAGGCCGAATCCGAGTCCTAGGTCCAAGTCCGAATGCGTTGGTGCTTGTGATCACAGTCCTGATCACTAGAACCCAATGACATTCTGATGGCCGAATTCCGATAGCTTCTCGGCGTTCACGAAGCCCAACGGCACGTACAGCCTGTTGGAGTTAATTTATTTCTAGAACATACCAGCCTACTCTCTAACTCTCTCTACTACTCATGAAACAAAAGTCAAGGAGCAAGTCCTTCCTCTGTGAAATTTCTAGAGTAGTGTAGACAATAATATGTTCTTTGTGAGTTCTAGTATTTTCATGCATGTACCAGTACTAGTTGTGTTCAGAAAAGTTCCTAGCCATCCTATAAATAGGCAGCTATGTCCTAGATGTGATGCTGCTGTCCAACAATCAATGTAACGTGCAATACTTGAGCAAAGCATAACCAGTTTGTGAAACAAACACAGAGCTTCTCTCCTCTGTTCTCCTTCTCTGTTCCATTGCTAGCAAAATAATCAACAACAACAACTGGTATCAGAGCGCCCAGGTTCGAGTAGGGCGTGACGGAGTAGCACGGCGTATCGGTATTGTCAATTGAAGCTACAAGTATGGCTTCAAGTTCGGGCGCCACAATGGCGCAGTCTATGGTTCCTGTATTTGCAGGAGAAAATTATGATATATGGAGCATCAAGATGCGGACGCTGCTGCTATCTCAAGGATTGTGGGATATTGTTGAGAATGGCTATCAAGAGTATTCCGCTGGAGAAACTCTTACGGCGGAACAGAAAAAGTCTTTGGCAGAGGATCGGATGTCGGACGCCAAGGCCTTGTTCTTGATCCAACAAGGAGTTGCGGAAAGTCTATTTCCGCGTATTATTGGCGCCAAGAAATCCAAGGAAGCATGGGACAAGTTGAAGGAGGAGTTTCAAGGATCTCAGAAGGTACTTGCGGTGAAGCTTCAAACCTTGAGAAGACAATTTCAGAATTTGCTAATGAAGGAGTCAGAGAAGGTAAAAGACTATTTCTCAAGAGTTATTGAGATCGTTAATCAGATACGCCTCTATGGTGAAGATATAAACGACCAGAAGGTTGTGGAGGAAATTTTAATCAGTCTGCCTGAAAAATACGAGTACATTGTTGCTGCTATTGAGGAGTCGAAAGACTTGTCGACTCTCACAATTCAGCAACTAATGAGCTCGTTGGAATCTCACGAAGAAAGAAAGCTTCAGCGCGAAGGGAGCTCTATTGAAAATGCATTTCAGTCAAAGTTGAGCTTCAGGCCTCAAAACTCAAGGTTTCGCGGAAATTTTCAAAAAAATGGATTTCCAATGCGAGACCGTGGTTATTTTCAGAAAAATGGCTTTTCCAGGCAGAAGGAAGATGGTCAAGAGAGAAGAGAAAAAGGTACGTCCAGTTCAAATTTGTGGTGTGACATTTGCCAAAAATCTAGTCATACTACAGATATGTGCTGGAAGAAAATGACCTGCAACAAGTGCAAAAGAAAGGGCCATATTCAAAATATTGCAGAACTCGAGAAATTAATCGGGCTAATTTTTCACAAGAAAAGGAAAAATCTGAAGAAATGGTTTTCTCTTGCCATACTGCTCAAGAAGAAAAAGATGATGTTTGGGTTATTGACAGTGGTTGTACAAACCATATGGCCGCTGATCCAAATTTATTTCGAGAAATGGATTCATCGTATCATGCAAAGATCCACATGGGAAATGGCTCTATAGCCCAAAGTGAAGGCAAAGGTACGGTTGCTGTTCAAACAGCAGACGGTCCAAAATTTATAAAAGATGTTTTGTTGGTACCCGATTTAAAGCAAAATTTGCTAAGTATTGGGCAGCTTCTAGAACACGGGTACGCGGTTTATTTTGAAGTCTTTTCTTGCAAAATATTGGATCGTAAAATAATCGTCTGGTTGCCAAAATAAATATGGAGAAGAACAGAAATTTTCTATTAAGGATGAATCATCCAACTCAAATGGCTCTCAGGAGTGAAATTGATATTTCCGATTTATGGCACAAAAGAATGGGTCATCTTAATTACAGAGCATTGAAGCTACTCAGGACAAAAGGTATGGTTCAAGGCCTTCCATTTATTACTCTCAAGTCTGACCCATGTGAAGGATGTGTATTTGGAAAACAAATTCGGGCTTCTTTTCCCCACAGTAGAGCTTGGAGAGCAAGTGCACCATTGGAACTAGTGCACACTGATATAGTTGGTAAAGTGCCAACAATTTCAGAAGGAGGAAATTGGTACTTTATCACATTTATCGATGATTATACAAGAATGATCTGGGTATATTTTCTAAAAGAAAAATCTGCAGCCTTGGAGATATTCAAAAAATTCAAGGCCATGGTGGAAAATCAGAGTAATCGAAAAATTAAAGTATTGCGCAGCGATCAAGGAGGAGAATATATCTCAAAAGAATTTGAGAAATATTGTGAAAATGCTGGCATCCGAAGACAGCTAACGGCAGGCTATAGTGCTCAACAAAATGGAGTTGCAGAACGGAAAAATCGGACGATCAATGATATGGCCAATTCTATGCTCCAAGACAAAGGTATGCCTAAATCTTTCTGGGCTGAAGCAGTTAATACTGCAATTTATATTTTAAATAGAAGTCCTACCAAGGCAGTACCAAACCGTACACCTTTTGAAGCTTGGTATGGTAAAAAGCCTGTCATTGGTCATATGAGAGTATTTGGTTGCATTTGCTATGCTCAAGTGCCAGCACAAAAGAGAGTAAAATTTGATAATAAAAGTGATCGGTGCATATTTGTTGGCTATGCTGATGGTATCAAAGGCTATAGACTTTATAATTTGGAGAAAAAGAAAATTATCATTAGCAGAGATGTGATTTTTGATGAGAGTGCTACATGGAACTGGAAGTCTCCAAAAGCCTCTAGTACTCCATTATTGCCAACCACTACCATCACACTAGGCCAACCACATATGCATGGCACTCATGAAGTGGAAGATCATACTCCAAGTCCACAGCCATCAAGTCCAATGTCAAGCTCAAGTGCTAGTTCAGATTCAAGCCCGAGCAGTGAAGAGCAAATTTCTACACCGGAATCAGCTCCAAGACGGGTAAGAAGTATGGTTGAATTATTAGAATCTACTTCTCAACAAAGAGGGTCAGAACAACATGAATTTTGCAATTATTCAGTTGTTGAGCCACAAAGTTTCCAAGAAGCAGAAAAACATGATAATTGGATAAAGGCCATGGAAGATGAGATTCATATGATTGAGAAAAATAATACATGGGAGTTGGTTGATCGTCCTAGGGACAGAGAAGTTATTGGAGTTAAGTGGGTTTATAAGACAAAATTAAATCCAGATGGCTCAGTTTAGAAATACAAGGCAAAACTTGTGGCAAAAGGCTTTAAGCAAAAGCCTGGGATTGATTATTATGAGACATATTCTCCTGTTGCCAGGCTAGAGACAATTCGTACCATAATTGCTCTAGCAGCTCAAAAGAGGTGGAAGATTTATCAACTTGATGTTAAATCGGCTTTCTTAAATGGCTATCTTGATGAAGAAATCTATGTTGAACAACCTGAAGGGTTTTCAGTCCAAGGGGGAGAAAATAAGGTATTCAGACTCAAGAAGGCTTTATATGGATTAAAGCAAGCGCCTAGAGTGTGGTATAGTCAAATTGACAAGTACTTTATTCAGAAAGGATTTGCCAAGAGCATAAGTGAGCCTACTCTATATATCAACAAAACAGGTACGGATATCCTAATCGTCTCACTCTATGTTGACGATTTGATATATACTGGCAATAGTGAGAAGATGATGCAAGACTTTAAAAGAGATATGATGCATACATATGAAATGAGTGATCTGGGCTTGCTCCACTATTTTCTCGGTATGGAAGTGCATCAAAGTGATGAAGGAATATTTATATCACAAAGGAAATATGCTGAAAATATTCTAAAGAAATTTAAGATGGATAACTGCAAGTCAGTTACAACCCCCTTGTTGCCAAATGAAAAGCAAAAGGCTAGAGATGGAGCTGATAAGGTAGATCCAACAATTTACAGAAGCTTAGTTGGAAGTTTATTATATTTGACCGCAACACGACCGGATATTATGTTTGCGGCAAGTTTATTATCAAGATATATGTCTAGCCCAAGTCAATTAAATTTTACCGCTGCAAAGAGAGTTTTGCGGTATATCAAAGGGACCGCAGATTATGGTATATGGTATAAGCCAGTTAAAGAATCAAAATTAATTGGCTATACGGACAGTGACTGGGCTGGATGTCTTGACGATATGAAGAGCACATCAGGCTACGCTTTCTCACTTGGTTCAGGTATGTGCTCCTGGTCTACAAAAAAACAAAATATTGTCGCTTTATCTTCAGCCGAAGCAGAATATGTAGCAGCATCAAAAGCTGTTTCACAAGTTGTTTGGTTGAGGAGAATTATGGAAGATCTGGGCGAGAAGCAATATCAGCCTACTACAATTTATTGCGACAGTAAGTCTGCAATTGCGATCAGCGAAAATCCAGTCAGTCATGACAGGACGAAACATATTGCTATCAAGTATCATTATATCCGGGAAGCAGTTGATCGCCAGGAAGTTAAATTGGAATTTTGCCGAACTAATGAGCAGTTGGCAGATATATTTACCAAGGCTTTATCCAAAGAAAAATTTGTCCGCGACAGAGAGCTCATCGGAGTTTGCAAGAAATAAATTAAGGGGGAGTTTGTTGGAGTTAATTTATTTCTAGAACATACCAGCCTACTCTCTAACTCTCTCTACTACTCATGAAACAAAAGTCAAGGAGCAAGTCCTTTCTCTGTGAAATTTCTAGAGTAGTGTAGACAATAATATGTTCTTTGTGAGTTCTAGTATTTTCATGCATGTACCAGTACTAGTTGTGTTCAGAAAAGTTCCTAGCCATCCTATAAATAGGCAGCTATGTCCTAGATGTGATGCTGCTGTCCAACAATCAATGTAACGTGCAATACTTGAGCAAAGCATAACCAGTTTGTGAAACAAACACAGAGCTTCTCTCCTCTGTTCTCCTTCTCTGTTCCATTGCTAGCAAAATAATCAACAACAACACAGCCGCCTGTCTCATGCATATATTGCAGCTGCAAACCTAAGCGCTCGATCGATCGCTCGCTTAGCTTGATTCTACGCACTCCAATTAAACCCGGTACACGAGCGTACGTCCAAATGACGACGACCACGGGCGCAGCTGCTGCCATGGCGGAGGTCGGCGGTGGCGGCCTCCCGCCGTCGCGCGCCGTGCTCGCCTCGCGGTTCCGTTCCAACTCCGACCACCTCATGCGGCTCCACTCCACCTGGATCAACAGCGCCGCCACGCCCGCCGCTGCGCCGTATAGCCGCGAGTCGCTCGCGATGCTCGCCGCGCGGCTGCTCTCCGTCTCCGACGACCATCTCCAGCGCCAGCAGCAGCAACATGTCTCCATGATTATCTCCACCTCCCTGCCCGGCTGCACCACCGGCGGCGTGGCGCCCGCATTCAAGGAGGCGATCGAGGCGCTCAGGGACGTCGTCGTCGACCAGCTGGCGCCGGCCGCGGAGTGCGCGATCTGCCTCCACGGCCAGGACGCGGCGACGGCGGCGGCGGGACGGTGGAAGGAGATGCCGTGCGGGCACCGGTTCCACGGCGTGTGCCTGGTGAAGTGGCTGCGCGTGCACGGCACGTGCCCCATGTGCCGCCACCAGATGCCTGCAGAGGAGGCGGCGGCGGCTGCTGCTGCTGAGGGACGCCGGAGCTGAAACCTGCTGATCCTATAGCCATGCCAGGCAGATGGGCTGCACGGCTTCTAGTTCTATCGAGAGCGTTGCTTCCTTATGGTCATCCAATTCGTTATGGTTATCGGATAACAGTGGTGCTCCAAGGCCCAAGCTAGCACGGGCCGACAGAGCATTTTGATGTTTGTGTATTCTACGATGTGAAGGTGGAGTAGATTTCCTTTTACAGCATGCAAAAGACTAATATATGTGACACCGATCTACAATCATATATTCTATCATGTGATTGGATAACTGCTTTTACAGCATGCAAAAGACTAAGGGGGTGTTTAGATTAGGGGTGTAAAGTTTTGTCGTGTCACATCGGATATACGGATACTCATTTGAAGTATTAAACGTACACTAATAATAAAAATAAATTACAAATTCTGCCTATAAACTGCGAGACGAATTTATTAAGCCTAATTAATCCATCATTAACAAATGTTTACTGTAGCACCACATAGCCAAATCATGGATAATTGGGCTTAAAAATTTTGTCTCGCAATTTACACGCAAGCTGTGTAATTAGTTATTATTTTCTATGTTTAATACTCCATGCATGTGTCCAAACGTTCGATGTGACAGGGAATAAAACTTTTGCTCGGGAACTAAACAGGGTCTAATATATGTGACACCGATCTACGATAATGTATTATATCATGTGATTGGATATAATTGCATTTTAGTGAATTTTCTCCTAAACTAATTATCTAATCTACGATCCAATCACGTTGTTGTATTTGTTGTAATTAAATCTTTATGACAAGATATCGCATGATTATATTCTGATGAAAAAAAACATAAGTTTCAATCCGTTAACATTAGTTGTTTCATATGATATAGCGACATGTTTTAACATGTACTTCACCATGTTTCATAAAATTTTTAAATATTTCGGTTGCTATTTTTTTCACTATATATAACTTAATGCTTTATTCGTTGGTCAACTGAAACATTTGACCGACCGATTTTTTTGGGGGGCATTGGGCGCCCGATGGGAAGATTTTCATGTGATGTCTCCAACCTTCCCTACTTGTTAATCCCTCCGTCCCTAAATATAAGGGATTTTGGTTGGATGTGGCACATACTAGTACAACAAATCTGGACAAGTTCATATCCAACAAAAAATCCTTATATTTAGGGGCGAGGGATCGAGTATGGACTATATGCATACATGGTTGTATATATGTGATATATTTGTCTGTGTATATATGTGCGGATCCTATATTCCTATATACAACATAATAAAGATATATTACATACAGTGTATTCATGTCTCATGTAAAGTTTGCTGTACTAAGGCTATGTTTATATCCACAGGTGTAAAGTTTTGGCGTGTCACATCGGATATACGGATATATATTTGAAGTATTAAACATAGACTAACAACAAAACAAATTACAGAATCTGCCTGTAAACTGCGAGACGAATTTATTAAACCTAATTAATCCGTCATTAGCAAATATTTACTACAGCACCACATTGTCATATCATGGAACAATTAGGCTTAAAAGATTCATCTCGCAATTTATAAGCAATCTGTGTAATTAGTTGTTTTTTCTTTATATTTAATTTAATACTCCATGTATATATCAAAACATTTGATATTACAGGGTGAAAATTTTTAACGGGCCTTAACGAAAACAAATTGAATATGCGATTATACAAACAAACGCTGGCCATGGATGTCGTCGGGGTATCGAAGAGGCCGCGACGCCTCGCCGAAGCTCACGTCGTGGTGTACGACGCTGTCCCGGTGCGCCAGCAGCGCCACATCCAGTACAGGACCACCCGAGCTGGAGATGCCGCGCACCCACAACCACGCTCCGCGCCGGAGGCTGTACGCGTCGACCTCGCCGCCGTTGCGGACGATCACCTCCTCGCCCTCCACCTCGCCGTGCACCGCCTCCACCTGGGTCTCCGACGTGAACGTCCTCGACAGGTCGCGCCGCCCGTCCCCGTCCCACATAACCAGGCTGACCCTCTCCATCAGCCGCCAGCCGCTGATCCGCGCGTCGTCGGAGCAGTGGTGGTAGTCGTCGAGCACCCACATCTCCATCGTGCTCGTCGCCCGAGCGACGGCCACGGCGCAGAGCTTGCCGCTGGAGAGGACGCAGATTCGCGATCTCGCCATGTCTTCTTCCTCGCCACGGCGGCGCGGCGGCGCATCCATCAGCCGGAACCTCTCGCGCGCCCGCTCGAACACGAGCACCTGCAGTTTCCCGGCGGAGCCGGAGCCCCGCTGCACTAGCCAGTGGAGGTTGCCGTGCAGTCGGATGGAGCGAGCTCCGTGCATCTTCAGCCGCGCATCTGCGTCTTCCAGTTGAGGCAGGGGAACCTCGCGCCAGGCGCCGTCTCCGACTCGCCGGAGCCGGAAGGCGGTCGCGACGTACAGGCCGGGGTCCACGAGGCACGCGGCCTCGCCGGCGGCGTGCAGGAGGTGGAAGCGCATGGTGGCCGGGTGGGCGTAGGCGCCGATGATGACGCCGCGGCCGGGCGGGGGAGAGACGGTGGCGCACGCCATGGCGAACGGATGCCACAGCACGTAGCCCCGGCGCCCGCTTCCGTCGTCGGGCCAGCCGAACAAGCGCCAGCGGAGTCTCCGGAGCGGAGGAGCGCCGCGCTCGACGCAGAGCACGCCGTCTCAGGAGCCGAGGACCATGGTCGCCGCCGGGGCGTAGGGCGAGGGGATCAGCGTGAGGTCGAGCGGCGGCGCCTTGCGGACGTCGCCGCGGCACCATCTGCTGCGGAACGAGTCGAAGAGCACGACCTCGCGGAGCCTTTGCTGGAAGGTCCAGTCGCCGTCTTGTCGGAGGCAAAACGTGTGGTCGGCCTCGGCGATGCCGGCGGGGCGCTCGGCGTGGGCGCGGCGGAAGCTCGGGTCGGAGACGAGGGAGCGCCAGCCCTTGCACACGGCGAGGCAGCGGGTGGCGCTGCGCGGCGGCAGGCGGAGCAGGATGTCCCGGAGCAGGTCGTCCGGCAGATGCTGCTCCGCGGCGGCGGCGGCGGTGATCATCTCGACGTGTGCATGTCGCGTACTTCTTCGGTTGTTTCCTTCCATGGCTGCGCTTTATGTATCGTTCGTCTCGTAGTAGTTCAAGGGACGATACCAACCAGAGTCCTCGATGAGTAAAATGTGCCGTGCCGAGATCAAACAGGATTCGTCGTCCGCACGCGCGCGTCACCCACGAACGCGCCGGAAGCACAACGACTCATTCTTTTTTTTTTTTCCTTTCTTCTGCTTAGTTCACAGAGAAAGAATAAGAAAAGAAAAAAAATAAAATACGAGAAGAAAAGAAGAAAAAGGAAAAGAAAAAATATTAAATGGATCTTATTTATCAGTCAAAATAATGTCACGTCAGCTGGCAGCAGACGTACGGCGACATCGCCGCGCACTCGGCCATGTCGGCTCTGGACATGCTGCAGTGCAGCCTGATGAAGATGATCACCAGCGCGGGCGCTGGTGACCTGTTCGACGCGTTGTCTTCCGCGCCCGCGCCCACCCGCATGACAAGGAGGTCGGCGACGACGAAACTGATGAGGTGATGATGACGAAGACATTGATGGTGATGTCATGCATCGAGGTACAGTGACGACGGCGGCGCCGAAAAGGAGGAGGCTGCCGTCGGGAGCATCAACGACGACATTGATCGATGACCATTATTCAAATTAAACTGTGCCATGAAGAATTGCCGGTCTCAATGTGTCATCCTCACCCCACGCATCACATGTGCAACAAATACTCCTACGATGTCTCCACTTCTTCGTTGTTGTGAACTACAGGCATACTAGGGGTGTGTTTGGTTGCAAGCCACACTTTGCCACAGTTTGCCATGTCTAAGGTTAGGCAAATTTGACAGGTGGTATTGAATGTGACATATTTGTGTTATGAACTATTACAACGTAATACTCCATTCGTCCCTAAATATTTGACACCGTAGACTTTTTTAAACATGTTTGACCGTTTGTCTTATTTAAAAAATTTAAGTAATTATTAATTATTTTTCTATCATTTGATTTATTATTAAATATACTTTTATGTATACATATAGTTTTACATGTTTTACAAAAGTTTTTGAATAAGAAGAACGGTCAAACATGTTTAAAAAAAATCAACGGTGTCAAATATTTAGGGACGGAGGGAGTAACAATTTATATATGTAAAGTATTCCCCTCCGTTTTATATTATAAGTTGTTTGTCTCTTTTCCTAATCAAACTTATTTCAGTTTGTCCAAGTTTATAGAAAAAATATAATAGTATTTTCAATAGAAAACAAACATATTATTAAAATATATATTCAATATTAGATTTAATGAAACTAATTTCATATTTTACATGTTGCTAAGTTTTTCTATAAATTTGGTTGACTAGAAAAAAAGTCAAATAATTTATAATATGAAACGGATGGAGTATTCAACTATTCATGTCTCATGCAACTATGCAAGTTTGTTGTACTGTCGAAAACAAATTAAATGAGAGTATATATTGTACCTTAATTTTTTAATATATGATGTTGTTGATTTTTATTCATGTTTGACCATTTGTTTTATTAAAAAAATAAAGTAAATATGTTTTTTTTATTGTAGCTTGATTTATCATTAAGTAAATACGAAGGCTTATCTTATTAAGGTGGGCTTGGGTGATGGATTTGAGGCTGATTGCCGAGCGAGCTAGAAGAGGAGATCGACCAGGCGGGAGAGATGCACTACACGCGGCGCAAGATATAGGGCGGCCGGATGACGAGACAGCGTCGGAGTCGGATTACACGAAACGACACGGACGCGTCGGAGTCCAATGGAGAGGGCCCCGATCGATCGGCTCCAAATGGGCTCTTGTGCATACCTGTGCCCGATACGCGGCACGTGTTCACCCAAATAATCCAACGGCTTGAGCGTTCTCGGCTCGGCTCCCAGGCGGACCGGAGTCGGCTCAACCGCACCCATCGTCCGTCGCCGCCGTTGCCTTCGTCGTCCCGCGTCGCCTCTCCTGTCGTCGACCTCCGGGGTCCTTTGCCAGATGACAGCATGACGACGATCGAGGAAGCCGCCAAGCTCCGGCGAGCACTCGATCGATTCGTGGGAACGCTTCCAGATAAACCATCCTATCTATCTCAATCTCCGATTTGGTTGCGTTGTCTTATCACTCTTCAAACAATAGAATTCTTCATGTTAGGAACGTACGATGGGATCGAGGCTTCTGATGACAAAGTGACGAACTGATGATGAGCATCAGAAGGAATCTTCAGACAACCTCCAACTCCAAGTATCCAAGCAAAGCAAGAATTCAACAATCTGAATAATGGAAGCAATTCCGGGCCGAAGGGTATGAGAAATTGGGGTTTCACATTCTCTATCATAATGGCACTATCACTATAGACATAAATATGTGGGGCAATAAAAGGGTGAGACCCACGTACCAGTGACTGTAATGATAGTGACATTATGGTAGAGAATCCTCAACCGAGAAATTGAAGGTTAGATCGGATCTACTTCAAAAGTGGAATATGAAGGCAGGAGGAAATACACACTTTGGCCAAAACATTCTAATTTTTTTGCTAGTGAGTTTGTGCCAGATGGGTGTCTGTGCTAGTTGCCGAAATTTTTTAGTTCTTTTTCTGCACGGATACCCTGCAGAGTTGACATGCAGGATGGTAAAACGTAGTATTCTCAAAGCGATGGTGAGGATTTTTAGGGTTCAATGACGGACGAATGCTTTATCAATCAGTTTGTACCTTGTACGAATCGCTGTTGCGAACGACGGAGGCAACGCCGGCAGAAGATGACGGAGCGACGTAGGGCGACAAAGGCAACGTCAGCGGAGGGATTATCCTTACTCTAAAATTGTTGTCTAATTCCTTGAATCCTTTCTCAATACTTGATTTGATTTAAAGTTCATCGTCCGATGAACGTGTGAATTCAGTGGTGTGTACCGAGTAAATCTGTCCACGTATTCAGTAGTGAATTAATGAACCAGTTTAGAGCAGGTACAATAAGATGACTCGGCAGGCTCCAAAAAGATCCACAACATTCTTTTCTTACGTGAAAAAAAGAGAATTGAGGAGAGAGAGATGAAAGCAGGCGACTAATTTGCCGAAAATTTGACAATTTGGCCCTTTTTGAAAACTATTTGCAAATTTGGTCCCTGGCAAAAACTATCACTAGATTTGGACGTACCCCGACCTCAGCGCCATGGTCGATGGCGCTGAGCTTGAACACCTCAGCACCGACCGCATCAGCGCTGAGTACGTAACGGCCCTAAGACGAGGATGGACGGAACGGCACAATGTCAGCGCCGACCGCATTGGCGCTGTGTTTCAGGACCTCAGCGCCATCGGGTCTGGCGCTGAGGTCCTACATCCCTTGGCCGAGCCGCGCCCAGCAGCCCGGCCCTTCTTTCTTCCTCCTCAGTGGCTCTCGGCTGAGGCGCAGCGGCGCCGAACCATCTCTCTCCTCCCCTCCAAAAAATCGAAAAAATCTCCACTAAATCGTCGCATTTTGGAGGGGAAATTGTTGGAGGACATAGTGGCAAGGTATTCTCCTCCGAATCCTCTCGTCATTTCGCAATTTTTTGCTTGGATTTGCTCATTGATGGATGAACCCTAGAATCGTGATTTGAGGTTATTTTCCCAAATTAGTTGGTTCTCTACTCTGTGGTTGTAGTTGTTATTGGTGATGCAATGGTTAGATGCTCATAGAACCCTAATTTTTAGTGGAGATTTTTGGCCCTTAGGGAAGAACCCTAATTTTTCCCCCAAATTAGTGAAGAACACTTCTTTTTTTTAAAATTTTTATCACAAGGCGAGAGTTCAAATTTAGAATGGATCGTTACAAATGGAAGATTGTGTATGTTTAGATATTTATGGACAATTTCGTTGGGGGACATAGTTGTAGGTTAGATTTTTTCTTATTGCAAATTCAAGTTTTTAAGAAATGCAATATGCTAATATGTCGGTTAATGTTGTAGATGGATAGATTAGTACGATTGCACTATGGTGGTTCGGTGGTAGAGCAAAGTAACAGTGGTAGCAATTTCGAAGGGATGAGTGTTAAGCAACTTATATTTGGTGGAAAACCTAGTTTTGAGGAGTTAGTTTGTCGTACAAAGGATGTGCTGGGGTGGAGCAATCAGTCTATAGCTATACAAGGTAGATATGATGTTGGAGCAAGACCCATTTCACACAAGTACATGCTAGATTTGAATGGGGAGTTGGAGTGGAACACATATGTGGATATAGTGTTGGGCTCCTAATTCAAGTCGCTTGAGGTGGTTGCTTCGAAGCTTGATCGTACTAACTGCAGAGATGATTCTTTTGACCTCAATCGCACACTGTTTTATGATGAACCAAACTATGAAGCATTTGATGATGAAGGAGCTATGAAAAGTCAGTCGGTTAAGTCTTTGACAGTTGAGGAAGTCATAGAATCTCAAGGGATGGGGGTTGATGTTAACATGCAAAAGAAGAAAGCAGTTGATGCAAATGAGGGAAGGAATCAGGAATCTGATAGGGTGGAGATAAATGTGGAGTTGCAGAAGGAGGAAGCAGTTGAAGCGAATAAGGCAAGGAGGCTTGAATCTGAAGGGGTGGAGGTAAATGTGGAATTGCAGAAGGAGGAAGCAACAGAGGTGAATGAGGCAAGGAGTCAGGTAGTTCCGATAGTTGGAAATCATGTTGATGATGATAATGAAGTGGCAGATGGATCAATGGGGGGAGGTGGAGAAGAGCGTACAACGGATGCTCAATTAGCATCCTTGGTGCGGTTCTGTTTTCGAGACAAAATATATACTCGGAGGGAGTGTGAGGAGACTTTGTTGATGAATGGATTGAGTGTTGATTTGTTGCACCAACATTCAAAGGAGTATGATGACACACATGAGGAGGAGGGATATGAGGTTGAGTATGCCGTAGACTCAGATGACGATCATCTAGTAGCCAAGATGTCTCAGGAAGAAAGGGAGGTGTTTGAGAAATTAGTTGGACGCAATCCAGAGGTTGTTCAGTTCGAGGATGTTAGCGATTATGAGCTAGCAGTTGTTGATGGAGGAGTAACATACAATGGCATC